ACTTGTTTCTCCTGTAATTTTTCTAAAAGCCCCCAAACTTCGCTCATTTTAAATTAATATATTGTATAGTTTTCCTTTGTATTTTCCAAACGTTCTTCAATAATCAGAAAATTAGAAAACATTTCAATACGTTTTTGTTTTTTCAGGAAAGAACAGTCTGGATTATTCAAGGCCTGATGGAATGGAAATAAAACGATGCGGTGACGCCATCTAGTGGCCAAGAGATTAAAAAGACAAGACAGCGAGTGCCGCCCAGACTTTGGCGGGGAAAGGAGGCTGCTTCTCGTTTCCCAGAATCCTTGAGGTGTCCAGGGTAGGGTGGGTGGGCAGTCTGTCCTCCCTTAGAGACACATCAGGGGTGCTACTGCCTCCTTCACTGCCTGACTGACAGTAACTCTGACACCTTGGAGAAGGGAGCTGGGGACGGGATGAGAGGGAGAAGGTGCCTGTCACCAGCTGCAGGGAACACGGAGGAGCCACTGATGCTCTCACACGTTGCACCCACACATGTGACATACAAAGTGCCCCACACACAGAAGAGGGGAAAACAGGAGAGGCGGCTACACCTTCCTGATTTGCAGGAAACAATCAACCTCCAATGCTGTTTTAAGGGGATGAAATTACCAGATCCTCATCTTCCGTTTGTATTTTTTCCTAAAACTGGTCTGGGTGAGAGACACCACCTCCCCTTCCCCAGTCTCCCACTGTATAAAAGGGCAGACCTCACCCACCCTGAACCTTGGATGATGTTGAAACCTCCATGTCATCTAATAAAGGGACAATTCAAATATCAGTGTCCACCAGTCTCCTTGAACCAGGCAGTGTGGTGGGGCTTCTTCCTTCTACTTATATCTGATAAGGGTGAAAGATGGCATTAGAAATGGGGCTGTTGCAAATTCAATTACATACTGGAAAAAAAAATATATATATAGTTCAATGGAATGGGAGTGGTATGGCTCTTGTCTAACTCTGTCTCTTTCGACCCCTTATTATTATTCCCAAAGACAATATCACTGTTGAGCTAAAGCTCTGTGAGAGCAAAGCAAACAATAATTCAAGGATGTAAACACTGGCTTTATGCCCTTTCCTCTGTCTTTCCTTCCCTCTCTCCCTCTCGTCGTCCATTCTTCCAAGAATCAAAATTCCTTCCCTCCCTTCTTTCCATCCATCTGTCCCGTCCATCCAAGAATTAGAATTCAGACATAAGGTGGTTGTCACAGGGATGCCTAATACCATTAACTGTACAGAAAAAAAAAAATGGTATCAGACCTTTACTGATTTAAAGTAGGTCTAGTGTGGCTGACTGGTTTGACAAGAACTGGCTTTGTCAACTAGATTACACAGCAGACATTTTTCATAAATGAATGAACTATATTTGCAGCTCTAAGGTCTTAACGACAACAAAAAATATTTTTAAAAGCATACAGTCTAAAGCATTTTCCAAACAAACAAACAAAGATACTGACTAATGTTTGTTAATGCTATTTTAATTATCTTATCTCTGTTGGAATATTTTGGGTTAAACAAGTTGTTTCTAAGTAAAAGAAGAACAGGTTTAATTAACAGTTGTTTGAAAAGTTTTGGTAAAGCCTCTTTGATATACTTCCCAGGAACTGAAAAAAATAAATGTCTGTAAGGGCTGAATAACAATTCTTTGGAAGTCAGATAATTTTCAATTCCTAGTTTTCAATACAATTGAGGAAGGATCTAATTGAGTTGTATTTTTGGCACATAACTTGGAAGGAATTCAAAGAATTAACTGACACTATTATAACAAAACTCCTGCCACTCCATGTATTTATATTCATGGTTTCTGAGCTTGTATGTCTAAAAATGAAAAATAGGAAAAAGAGGTGATACTGAACTTTCTTTCTAGCAATTAGTATTATTTGTCCTCTTATTCATAAGCTAACTTTAAAAGCCAATCCATTCCATTATACGTTGCCATTTCAATGCAATTTCCATTTAATAATTACTTGGAAGAATAACGATTTAATAATGTGGATAAAGAAAAGGGGTTCTATGGAAAGTAACCTCACAGGGTGATCTGATCATAAATTTCTAACTGGGCAGGTCATGGTCAGTAGTCATGCCCCAGGCCTATAACTTCTTTTATTTTTTTTAAAATAGTTTTTAATTACAGTTGCTATACAACATTATTTTAATTTCAGGTATATGACATAGTGATTAGACATTTATATAACTTTTTATATAACTTATGAAGTGATTGCCTGGTAAGTCTAGTATCCATCTGACATCAGACAGTTATGATAATACTATTGACTATATTCCCTATGTTGTATTTTACACCCCCACAACTGTTTTTATAACTGGCAATTTGCTGGAACTTAGGAAAAGTATTTGTGAGTGAGTAAATCCATGTGTGGTCCCTTTAAGAGAAACACCGGGGACTCCAGCCGTCCTGCGTCGCACCCAGAGTCCACAATGATTTTTACAGCCAGATGTTGTGGAGACTCCTCTTCTTCTCACTGATATTCTGGGCTAGGGAGCCTGGTGTGGGGCTGGGACCCCTTGCTCCTCAGGGTGAACCTTCACAACAGAGAGAGACCTCCTGATTTTTAACTGCCGTATGTGGTTGTGGGACCATCTCAGTCTTTGTCTCCATCTCTCTTATCAGTCTCAACGTGGCTTCTTCTGTATGTTCTTAGTTGTAGGACTTCTGTTCAGCTAGACTTCAGGTGATTTTCAATGATAGTTGTTCTACAGTTTAGTTTTAATTTTGATGTGGTCATGGGAGGAGGTGAGCACAGCATTTACCTATTCTGTCATCTTGTCATGTTGACCAAAAGTCTCCAAACTGATAACTTCTTCAGTGAAAAGTTTTAAGCCAGCCCTGTCCATTGTTCTTGTGCATTTAGGTTAATATACCTTTGAAATGCCAGGAGTAATACCCCTCAAAAAGAGCATTAACCCTCAAGAGAGTACATGATCTTGTTCACTATCCTGTAATCCAATCTCCTCCTCATTTTCTCCCACCTCCTTGTATGTTCCCTCCTTAATTTCAAATTCATAAAAGAAAGTGCAAAGCTGTTACTCTCCAGTGCATTTGAGATCTTGCTCCCCAGCATATGTTGTCAGTTTGGCTCAAATGAACTATTATAAAAATTTTCAACAGGTTTGAATGTTTCTTACATTGACAATTATACCAATGACTTATCAACATTTACTTCCTTAGATCAACTGTGAATTAATAGCTGAAACAATGACTTAATCTAGGATAAATTAACAGTAACTCAGTATAGGAAAAATTTCTATTAATATTCAGGATACGTGGAGAAATGTCTTACAATTTACACATACGTACATACGCATATATCCATATGTCACAGTTGTGTGATGAGGTGATCAAGACTTTCAGGCGACTAAATCTATTACATTGCAATAAAATGTTGTGTGCAATAGAATAAAAAAGAAATGAGTTCAGGGGAAAAAAGAAACAACATAAAAATTCTAGCTGTTAGAGCTTGTTCACATGCATTTTTAATGAACAGAGGTAGTGATAAAATTACTATGGATTTATTTATACTGTATCTGCTGGATACATTTAAAAAATAATTTTTATATGTCAGTATTTGATATACCATTCATTTTCATAATTTCTGTGAAGTACACCAAAAGTTTTTACTAAGACTTACGAAATGATGATCACGCGATTCCTGTTTCTCTTCCACTAAGAGGCAACTTCCTTATCCCAAATAGTCAAAGAATTGGGAACTGAAATATTATTACATCCTCTGTAACTATTTTGACGAGAAATTTATACATCACCATGAAATATACGAGGGGGTGTACAGTTTTACATTATTTGGGAAAAACATTTGAAAGCCACTGCTCTGAAGGGTTGCAGTGGGGAGTGGTTTAGCCTGGACCAACTGACCTCATGGCTTTCAAAAGTTTTCAGGCATTGGAACTCTATTTTCTGGTCAGTTTGTTGGGTGTTCTTGGCCCTAAATGGCAGACAATGCCAACGGAATTCGGGTCCAGGATGCTGGGGTCTCCTTACTTTTCTGAGTCCAGTCTGGCCTGGTATGACGAGAGGTTCTCTCTGGGATGACCAGGCTGCCCCTCACCTCCTGGGCACTGCTTGGGCACACTCTCTAACCTCAACCGTAATCTCCCTCCCAGGTGGGGCCTGGCTTAGGAGATATCAAGAAGTCTGATGCTTCTAACTCACAGACCACTCCTGCCTCTGATCAGCAAGCCCTGCCCACTGCCCCTCATGACCAAGGTCAAGGGCAGCTATGGGGCTTTTCCACATCCCTGCACCCTACTTCTAAATGGAAAGCACAGCAGGACCATTAAGTGAGAGGACCTGGTGCTATCTGGGTCCTAATCTCAGCTCTACCATTTATTAACTGTCATCAGGAAGACAAGCTATGAAACCTCTAAGCACCTCAGTTTCTCTACCTATGAAATGGTGGTAACAATAGAACCAACTCCTGCTGCTATGAGGACTACATGGAACATTGGGATGGCATACGAGAGTTTAATAAATGAAGTGATTATTATTGCTATTACTATTAAATGTAAAATTTAGAGTTTTAAAAGTGAACTCAAGAAAGGAAAAAGTGAAGCTCGGGAGAGGGGATGCTCCTCTCTTCCATGGAGCACCTCTGACAGCACAGGGTGGGTGTGAGCCCAGGCTCTGCTCCAAAGGAGGGTGGCTGCAAATCACCTCTGACGAGGACAGCCCCTCATTCTTGGGCAGCTGCCATCCAGATGCACAGCCACTGAGCAGGAGACCCCCATGGCTTGGGCTTCTCTCACATCTGGATTTGTCCCAGAAACATAGGAGTGCACACAGGGGACCCTAGTGTTGTCACATAGAGACAGCAGAATCCTGTGCAAACCTTCCATGCATAGCATAAACCCCTTCCCCTGAAGGGTCTCCCTCCCCATGGGTGGGTGGGGATAGCAGAGGCGTGGCTGGGCAAAGTGGTCCAGGGCCCCTGAATAACCCAGCCAGGAAGGAAACGTACTTGAATAATGATGAGACAAAGGAGGACCGGTCTGGCTTAGCATCAACTACATCTTGGCTTGCTGAATCCCCAGCTTCCTGTTTCCCATCATCGTCTGCCATCTGGGAAGAGAAAAACAAAGCAGAAAATTGGTATCCAGTGTGATATTTTTAAATAACACTCATTAGGTGACACAGTCTTTACTTAAGCCTAGAGATGAACAATCTTGTACACTGAGGCTCCAAGGGTCCCGCCCCATCGATTCATTCAAATGCCTGAGGGCTAACTCTATTTTGGGCATAGTTCCAGAGACAGGTATACAGTGGGGGAAGAAAACCAAGTCCTTGCCCTCGGAGAGTTTCTAATCCAGCATGCACGATTTTGTTAACTGTTCTCTGTATACAAGAAGTTGTGGAAGGTCCATCAAGGTTTGCAACAACAATGGACTCGCCTAAATTCCTGACAGGTTCTAAGGTGCTCATTCTTTGCCTAGCATCACTCAAATCCAGTTCAAAAACAGAGCAACCTGCAGTGGAAAGCTCTCTGTTTCATATTTCTATCAAAACAGAGTTTCTCAAATCTATTTGATGTTCACTAATCTTCAAGAAATCTCTAGGATCTAGAAGTTCAAGTCTAACCCCATTTCGCTGGATTTTAAGGCCCTTCAAACTATGATCCATTACTTGTAAATCTGTAAATAAAGTTTTACTGGAACACAGCCATACCCATTCATTTATGAATTGTCTGTGGCTGCTTTCCCACAATTGGAGTTGAGTAACTGTGACAAGGGACAACATGGCCCACAAAGCCGAAAATATTTACCACTTGGCCTTTTACAAAAAACAGGTGCTGACCCTTGATCTAGGATAACTATCAGCCAATAGGAACCCCTGCTCGCCTATTACTCCCCCTACTTTAAGAACTAAAAATAACAACATGAAAACAGAAACTCATATGTGTTACTGTCTTGATAGCATTATCTTTTTTAATACTCCCGATAATGCTGTTAGATCATCCCTATGACCAATAACACTGTTATATCAGCCTTTTGATCATTGCCTTTTGACAGATGAGGAAAGCTGAGGCTGAAAAAGGTTAATGACTTGTCCTAGGCCACAAAACTAGTAAATAGTAGGACTCAGATCTGAACCAGCAACAAGCACTCCAGAGGCTACCCCTCCCCACCACGCCATTTAGCTCCCAGCTCCTTAGCACACTTGGGCACGCTATGCTCATTTCAGGTTCTGTCTGGGCTCATGGTTCTCTCTTTCCGGGAGTCACTACCCACACGTTTGCTGGACATTCCATCTTTGCCCAGCTGGCTAATTCTTAATTTTCAGAATTCAGCTTAAATAGCACCTCCGCAGAGAGGTCCTCCTTGATTGATCCTGTCTTACCAATGCCCCCGCCCCGTCAACTCCCATTCCCTTTCTAGCTCCTGTATTTGTCTTATTTGCACTCTGCTTATTTTTTGGCTCAAACACAACAGTGTAAGGTCATCATGGCACAGGCACCTGGCACACAGAGTTGCTTATTAAATTAATATTAATTGAACAGAAAACTGGGAAGCGAATTAGCTAAAACTGATGCAGCTGGTCAAAAGCAGAACCTATTCTACATCAGTGGTCCCCAACCTTTTTGGCACCAGGGACCGGTGCTCCTCTGAGAATCTAATGTCTGATGATCTGAGGCGGAGCTGAGGCGGTGATGCTGGCGCTGGGGAGCAGCTTCGAGTACAGATGAAGCTTTGCTTGCTCGCCTGCTGCTCACCTCCAGCTGTGCGGCCCGGTTCCAATAGGCCATGGACCCGGTACCAGTCCGCAGCCTGGGAGCTAGGGACCCTGTTCTAGAGTCATTTTCCCTAAACTGATTCCCCTTTCATTGCCCTTGAAGGGACTGGCTCTCAGGAAGGAAGACGAAACTCTCCAGGCTCATTCCTACTGGTTTCAATCTCCAAGCCACTGCATAGAGCACACCACGGTTGGCAGAGGCAGATCTGCCTTCCAGTTAGGCTCACCCAGGGATATTTTCACTTGAATGGAAAACAAGGAAGCCTTTATTTGACAGAACATATTGTGGCCTAGAGCACAAAGAATGACTTTTGGAAGTGGAGAAGAGAAGGAAGCCTGCTTGTGGGGAGGTGTCCAAGATGGCAAACCATCCACCAAGGTGAGCTCCCAGTGGCATTATGTCACCTTCCAGCTGACCTTAGGGTTGAGCTGGGTGGTGAGACGAGGATTGAGAGGGAGACTTCCATACTAGATCTCTACAATGTTTGTGAGAAGTCAGGTGGCCATCTTGTTTCTCCACACATCACCAACCCCACCATTGCCACCCATGTGTGTCCAGTTGGGAGGAAGTTAAGATTTTTCAGATTAGGATTCAAAATGTTTCTCAAAAGCAGAGATAACCCCACCCCCAGAAGAGATAAGGGTAAGCCCAGCCATGCAGAAACACTCAACAGTTTTTATTTTATCTCCTTTATATAGATTTCATTCCCTTTCAATGTGGACTGGTACTTAACAAAGCACTGAAGTATTTTAAAAATGAAGAAGTTAAAGTTAATACAAAATCCACCAGAAAAAGACACTAAATTCAACATGTGGTATGTAAGCCTCGAGCCTTTTGGAAATACTAATCTTAGAAGCTGAATCTGGGACTTGTGATTATAAAACAATGTGACCGTTATGTACACACATATACATATAAAGGAAGACCCTGAGCGAGATGGTGCCTAAGAAAGGCGAACATTTGTTTTAATATTGTTGGGACTGCTGAGAACATATCTGGAGACTCCTCTTTATTCATTCATCAAAGTCTAATGCACTAGGCCGAGTGCCGGGAGGTGGGGACATACTTTGGAGCAAAGCGACGCAAGAACCAGGGGACCCAGCTGGGCCTCAAGGAGGTGGGGACATACTTTGGAGCAAACTGATCTGGCCGTGCCTTGTCGGGGAACTGAAATTGTCCCTCATAAAAAGATGCCACAAATGTCAGGCTGCTGCTGTGATGAGCGACGCAAGAACCAGGGGACCCAGCTGGGCCTCAGAGGAATTAGGCAGGGTTCTCAGGAGAGGAAATGTCTGACTGGAGGATTTGAGAAGGGGAGGTAGAGAGAGGGTGGGGTGGGACGAGGCAGGCAGAGGGAGGAATTGCACACTCATTAAACATCTGACATGCTCCATCAAAAGAGGGTGCAGCTTATAATCCTTTCCAGCCATTTGGAGGGGGCTTTGGACTTAGCTACAGAGACATGAGGTTCAGGATGATTTCTATGGTGCAATGGTGGGAGGCTTTCCAGAGCTTTCCCATCAACACTAGGCCAGAAGGGTCTTCTGTGTGGAACCTCCAGCATCCTTCTGGGTTGATGCTGAACACCTGTCTAGGGGGGCAGCAAGCATCTCTGCGAACAGCCTGCTGGAGTGTATGTCTAAAACAAGTCAGTGTGGTGGGACTCGGCTCTTGGTCTCTTAGGCTAAACATTTAGCGACTTTCTTATGCCTGTGAAGCTGGGCTTGAATTCTGGGTGAAATCAAGTTCACCCAGGGCAAGGGTGGTGACTGAGTGGGGTGCCTATCTCAGTCATATCATTTCACTCAGGCCAAGACTTAGTGTTGATCTCTTACTCCACGCATCCTCACAGCCCGCCAAGAAAATCCAGATCTATCTCGGCTCTCCTGTGCCTGGAAAGGGCACACCTGACCTTACTTTTCCTGTATATGTCCTCTTTTCATGGCTCAAGCTCAAAGAGCAGTCATGCAAGGGATATTGCATATTCAACTGTTAAATATGCCTACCTTCTCTTTAAATGAATATATAGGATATATGCAAAGCATTAACAATAGCAGGCACTCAGTTATTATTACTATTTGCAGATTGAGAGCTTATGTACTTAAAAATTTTGAATCCTTCAGTGTCTTGAATGAACTGTTGATATGGGACACGCAACAGAAACAAAGGGACCCCAGGAGGGTGGTGGAGAGCAGATCAGGGCTTAAATTGGCTCCTCCACCTATTAGCCATAGCACCCTGAACAAAGTACTCAATCTCCCCCAGCTTTAATCTCCTCACCTGTAAAATGGGAAACAGTGATGCCTCAGTCACAGGTGGCTGTGAGGCTGAATGGAATAATGCATGCAAAATGCTAAGCACGTGGAGAATATTCTAAATGCTTAGTACATATTCCCTGTTACGACCACTGTCTGCAGAACTCAAGACTAAGAAAACATTCAACTGTCAACCTTCACCGGGACTTTTAAATTATATCCATATTTTAAGCAGTTTTTGTAGAGATTGAAAACAAAAATCCTCTAGTGATTATTTCTATGCGTGTTTATAGGTGACCAGCACACATCAAGTAGGAAAATGCTTTCTGGCTATTGCCTGAACTTTTTTTTCATGGAAGGAATGAACTCATTGCGGCTGCTTCCTCCCAAAAGGGACAATACAACTTGCACCCCATTCTTGGACCAGTGAAGACAATCTTCCTAAAAGGCTCAAAAAGCAGCATCTCTGAGGATCTCCACCTCTCACACTTGGGAGGATGAGGGGGCTCTGCTGGGCACTCAAGTACTCTACTGTCACCTGATGCTCACAGTATTGCTAGGAGACTGGAGTCTTTATCCTGTATTGCAGAAGATACTGGTTTCTTCAGAGAAGTAACCTGCCCAAAGCCACACAGCAAAGGGGAAGCAGAGGTGAACTGTTAACTCCCTATCAAGATGAAGGTCAGGCTGTACACCCTGAAGGAGGAAACAGCCTGTAGGTAAAGTGAGGGCCAAGTAGACAGCCAGCCCAGGAGTTCAAAAGATAGGGCCTGAGAATGACTCACACAGAATCACCTCCACATAATGTGACTGCCCCATAAACGATAAACTTTAATACGGTCACAGGTTACAAATTCACCAGCAGCCATGACTTTTTTCACTTCAAGAGATCTTCAAGAGCCCAACACAAGGGTTCGCCAACAATGACAATAGCTACGTGTGGCGTACGAAGCCTTGACAGAGAGGCACTGCTATGAACCAGTCAACCCCTACCATTCTCGCTGTAACCATCAGCCCAGACTCACCATTATTCCCATTGAACACATAGGCACAGAGAGGGCCAGGGCCCCACAGCTGGCAAGCGGGGACGCTGGGATTAGAACCCAGGGCCGTCTGATACAGCAGCCCTCGCTGTGAGCCCTGCTTCATGACGAACTGCTCTTTCTTTCTAAATCCACCTCCCCTTTTCTAAATCTCGAATAGTACCAGGTGATGATGCAAGCCCGCTGGCTAGGACGGAAGGGAGGACAAGCAGATCGAAGCAAGCGACACCAAGGGCATGGAGAGCCCTCCCCCCAGTTTCAGCGCAGGTCTTCAGACCCCCATGCCCCACGGGACCCAGCTCCCCGCAGACCTCACTCGAGGCGGGCCGGGTGGGAGCCAGGGCTGGAGGAGGAGGCGCGCCGCCGACTGGCGGGAAAAACGTAAGCGGAGGCGGGAGCCGAAGTTACCTTTCCCACGCGGCCTGGTGGCCAGGACTGGCGGCCGTTTCTGTCCCTCAGCAGCCAAGGTCTAGGGACACTATCACCAAAACGAAAGTAAAGGCCCCAGAGCTAGTGGAGGAGGAGTCACCCAGGGCTGGACGCGGAGCCGGGCGGGGCTCAGTGCACCGCCCCCCAGCTCCGGAGGGTTCGTTCCGCCGAATGGGAGAGCGCGCCCTGCAAGTGACTGCATGCAACGTCGCGCGCGCCGTCGGGGTTGGGGGGCGCCCTCTGCAAAACGGGTCGCGCGTTCTGCCAGGCTGGCCACTTCCACCGCCCTGAGAAAACGCACCCTTGCGAATTTGGCCGCGCGCATGCTCCTCGGAGGACCCACGCGGCAAAGCTGCCGCGCGCGCCAAAGAGCGTGCGGAGAGCAGTTTGCAGAGATTTATGGCATCCCGCCGCCACGCTCATAGTCCCCTGGAGGGCACATTCTGCAGGACTGGCAGTGCTCAGAGTGACTCGGAGAGCGCGCTCCGCCAAACTACCGCACGCTGAGTCCCGAGCCACACAAACGGAAGCGCGCGCCCTGCGGACTCCCGGTGCTCGAGGATGGGGTGCTCCTCAAAGCCCCCATTCCACGCCTCCTTCTCCCTCCTGATGCAGCCCCCAGTCTACATCTCGACTTGGGCCTCCACACCAGTTCCAGGACTCAGTTCCCATAGCCAGACCTTTGACCCCAGCCTCTGCGTTTCGCATCTCCTGGGTGCTCGGCGCCCGCGTCTGCAGGATTTACCGTGTTCCAAGGAGGAGCCCCTCCGGCCCCTGTGGGATCGGCTGTGGTCTTCCGGCCTTCCAGAACTTGCGTGCAGTTGCGAGTGCGCCTGTTCTCGTATGTAGGCGGTAGGAAGCCAACTCAGCTTTCTCTTGAGCAAGTTCCCACCTCCGAACACAGCCAGCTAGTCTGGATGTGGCGCCAGAATCATTCGTGAAATATTTTTGAGCGCCCCCAGGCGTCAGCCCCGGGGTATGTAGCCATGTGTTAGTCTAATGTGGGAGAGACTGCATTCTAATCGATTCCACTTCATTCCTACCGCTACATACCTGCAACACACGCACACACGCACACACGCACACACGTGTCTTTCTTCAGCCTTGGGCCTCCAACCGAGGCCTCTAATGTCTTTCTTGCCAAGACTCTTCCGGAGCAGTTAATTAACTCATTCACACTGAGGTGTAAATATTTGAGAAGAAATTATTCTTATTCATACCAAAGATATTTGCTTTTAAAGGGCTATCAACGCCTTGAGCGAAAGGAGTTAAACCTTCACGGTGCCACATCAGGCAAGAATCCATCTTGTCTTTGTTTGCTTGCTTTCCCTCTGGGCCTGACACTTCTATAACGTCTCTAAAATCTCATCAGGTAAGGACGCTGTGTTGGTTTAAGAAAGACTGGCGGCAGGCAAGTGTAAGGGGATAATTATAATTTATTCACTCTGTGAAAATCCCGAATTCCTGAATATTTTTAACAGGCAGTTACACCATTCCCCATAGGGCTGTTCTATAGGCTGAATATTTATACCCATCTAATTCATTCATTGATACCTAATGCCCAATGTGATGGTATTAGGAGGTAAGGCCTTTGTAGGTGCTTATGCTTAAGGATGGAGCCCTGGCAAATGAAATTAGTGCCCTTATAAAAGAGGCTTGACAGAGCTTCCTAGTCCCTCCCACCACGTGAGGACACAGCAAGAAATTGCCGTCTGCAACCTGGAACAGAGTCTTCAGAACTCAACCATGCCAGCACCCTGATCTTGGATTTCCTGTCTTCAGAACTGTGAGAAATTTCTGTTGTTTACAAGCTACTCAGCTTGTGGTATTTTGTTATAATAGTTGGAACAGACTCAGATAGGCTGTAAGACTCTATTTAACACCCATGTTCCTGTTGGGGGTAAACTAAGTCATTGTAGAAACTAAGATAATTTGCTTTTTCAAGGAATTCAATTATGAATCATTCGAGAAGTGAAAAGTCCCATTAGTAAAGCAAATAAGTTACTCTCTATGTAATTTATAAATTGAAATTTTTGCAGATTATTCCTGAAATATAGTGAAACACAAAGCTAGATCTGGAAGGAGATTTAACAACTAATTTCTATTCTCATTTTATATAAATAATCTGAAGCTCAGAGAAGTTGCCCACATCATAAGCTTGCTAGTGACAGAACCAGGATCAAGTCACCTAGAAAAATAATATTTTCCATCCACAAGGAGGCTTTACCATAAAATATAGCATGCAAATGTTAAAACGGTTACACACAGGCTCACATAGCTGGTTTGAAGGGAAACATTCTTGTTTTTTAGCTCTTTATCGTGAGCTGGTGTGAGGAACCTCAAAGGTATCATTGAGAGGCTGGGTTCTCGTAGTATTAACAGATAAAATCATGGGAATATGGAAGGAAAATAATTTTGAATTTTTCCCTCTCTAATAATTGTACTGGCACTTTGGATCTAAATGGCGTTCTATACGTTCTATTCTAACTGTGTCTCTCTAGTCTTGGCGCATGTCATTGTTTTATGCTTCCTTTCCATATACACATCATTAGAGCTTGAGTCTTCCTCCATACCTCAGAAGAACCCCCAAATTCACTATTTGGGTGATTTCCTAAGGGCCGTACTCATGGGTGCTCCTGAGCTAGTCCCTCTGGACCTTTCCTCCAGCCTGCTCCTTTTGGTCAGTAGGCTGCTAATATTGATGAGCTCACCATGACCACCTTCATTCTGCTGGACACAGCATCCCTATGAGGGTGCCACCAGTGATCGTTTCTCCAATTCTCCGCAACACAGCTCAGTCCAGGTTTTGGTCTCAGGGGTACCCAAACCCCATGCCACAGACCGATACTGGTCCTTGGCCTGTTAGGAACCGGGCCGCACAGCAGGAGATGAGCCGCGGGAGAGCAAGCGAAGCTTCACCTGTATTTGCAGCTGCTCCCCAGCACTAGCCTCACTGCCTCAGCTCCACCTCAGATCATCAGGCCTTAGGTTCTCATAGGAGCACCTGTCCCTGGTGCTAAAAAGGCTGGAGACCCCTGATATAAAGGACTCCACGGGAAGATATCCCAAAATTAAAAGAAATGTCACTTTTACCACCCATAGGCCCAAACTTAAACCTTGACCGAGGCGACAGCGGGCTTCTTCAAGCAGGAAGAATGGGAAGCTCGGGGTCCGTGTAGAATCCTTTTCTTCCCTGAACAGAGAAATTCATGTTGCAGTTGTTATCGATAAATCTTCTGCAAGATCCAAATTCACCTTTTTTTGTTTGTTCTGTGAAAATGTACCTGGGCCCTTTAAGTAGTTTTCTTTTGCCAGTAGCCTGGGGTTAAGCTTTGTCAGTAGGGGGCGCTGGAAGGAACCTAGGAAGAAAAGGTTTGCTTCTTGGTTCTGGTGTGTTTGGCATGCTGCGGCACAATCAGGCTCCTGCTCAGGATTTTATAGCACACCTGGCTTCCCAGTGTTCAGCTTCTGTTGTGCCTGGTGGCCAGCAGCACTCAGCAGCCAGAAACTTCCCCGGCACCCTCTTCAGATGCTTTTGTAGCAGAGGGCCGCCACTGAAATACCTCCCATGAAAAGCTCTCTTTGGCACCTAGAGAGTAGATTTCCAGAAAGTTCTGAAAGACAGATTTCTAGCAAGTTCCACTGGCACGGCACCACAGTGACTTCTGTGCCATCTAGGTCATGCTCTTTCCAAAAAGGTTTGGACCTCAACCCTGGGGCAGGAAGAAGGTAGAGAGAGGGCTTTTCCTTAGGCCCTTTATCTGAGTTCTAGGGATAATGACATGTTATGTTGTCATGTTATATTATGTTATGTTAGTTTACGTTAAGTTACACTGATATGGGCTGGATTGTACCCCCGCATACTCAAATACATATGTGGAAGTCCTAACCACCACTACCTCATAATATGGCTGTCCTCGGAGATGGAATTTTTAGAGGTAAAATGAGATCATGAGGGTAGGCCCTAATCCAATATGTCCTTGTAAGAAGAGATTAAGACACAGACACACACAGAGGGAAGGCTGCGCAAATACATAGGGAGAAAATGGCCATCTATAGGCCATGGAGAAAGGCCTAAAAAGAAATCAACCCTGATAACACCTTGATCTTGGACTTCTAGCATCCAGAACTGTGGATACTAGCATTCTAGTCTGTGGTACTTTGTTGTGGCAGCCCTAGCAACTAATACATATGTTATCTGCAAGTATATTATATCTACAATTGCTGTAGTTTTTAGAGTTCTCTTTACTTCTTACTAAACCATCTCTTGATATTCCAATCCCCTGTTATAGGTAATATTCTGTTATATTAACTTTTCCTGTTCAGATTACTGTGTGGTTTCTCTCTCCTGACTGGACCCAGATGGATAGACCAGAGTTTCCCTAATCCAAGGGCTGCCTCTCTTCTGATTTCATGGTCTTCAGCAGTGGGAATATCCATTTCTTGACTCAGAGGAAAATCTCCATGCCACCCACAGAGTGTGTCATGGTCCCCTGACCCAGGAGACAACCACAGCAGTTGGATATTATTGTTCACACTTGGATAAAACTCCATCTGCAGACAGTCAAAGCCCAAGCCAAATGAGACTGAACCGATTCCCAATCCTTTCCTCTGCCTTCTTCTTCCCACCAACCCCCCCAAGAGATCGCTGGTCTGGTTGCTCCTGATGATCTGTGAGCAACCTCTTAGATCAGGGGTTGGTGCACGGTGGCCTGTGGGCCATGTTTTTGTACAGCGTACAAGCTAAGAATGGTTTTCACATTTTTAAAGGCTTGTTAAAGGAAGAAAAAGAAGAGAATGAAGATGCAACAGAGATAATTATGTAGCTCACAAAGCATAAAATATTTACAATCTGACTCTTTACAGAAGTTTGTAGACTCTGTCTTAGACCAAAAGACACAATCCCATTTCCAAAGCAAATGGTAATTTCAACAAAAGAGTGGTCTCAAACCAGATTTAGGTTTGAGGGGAGGCAAAATATTTCTCTGATTTTCCTAGGCACAGTACTTCCTGTGGAACAAATTTACATAAATAGATGGCTTGCTGAAACTCAGTGTGAAGCCTAACCAGTTAGGCAACATTACCAACCTTCCGGCTTCCCTAGGGCAAGGAAAGATACTTGCCTAACTTGACCCCACCATCTAATGGCCCTTGACCGCACAGAGGAACTTTGCTCTGAAGCCACCAACTCCTCATCATCAGGTGCTCATGGAAATTTCCTCTCTCAAACACCCTCAACAACCAGCTTCTTCCCCTTGGTACCTGTACGCTCCAACAGATAGGGATGAGGATGGAGTGGCATTTCCGACATGGGAAAACATGAGAGCTTGAGACAACGCCCTGCTTCATGCATTTCCATCCCAAGTATCTGGACACAGCATTGCACACTGCAGAGGAGTACAAGGATGGAACAGAAGTGACTTCATCAGCCTGAAGAGCAGGCAGTGGGAGTTCATGGCATCTCATATAAATAATTTTCTTTACCCTGCCCACAACCAGTTTTCTTGAATGACTGACCCTTGGGGTACCCTATGCCATATTGCCTAGGCTCACTGATGCATGTGACCAAGGCCTCCTTAAGTTTCTTAAGAAACGTCCCTCTGCTTCCCTGGCCCTAGGCTTTCTCTGAAGCTGCAGAATGTGTTCAGCTCATGCAGACAGGTGTTCCCTAGTGGTGTAAGGGAGTTAATGCCCCCAACAGTAACTTGGAACCAAAAGGAGATGAAAGTTGGATTGATAAGTATCCCAGCCTCCCGTTCTTCAGTGGGACAGTTCTGGGGCACATTCTACAAGGTTCCTCAGAGTGTCTCCAGTAAGATTGAACCCCACTTGTTCACAGCAGTAATGTGTTCAGAATATGCCTTTATTGACTCTTCTCCCTTCTCTGGCTCACTCACCTAAAACCCTCACTGTTACCTTGTGGGATGAACTGCCCCCAAAATTCTCTGCATTCAGTTCCTCGCTTCAGCCTTTGCCTTTGGGAAAAATTAAACTAAGGTAGACACACACACCCGCAACACGGGAAGAACAACCCCAATCTAACCAGAGTGACAGTGACAGAGTGAAGGGCTGGTAGCTTTCTCCTCACTTCTCATTTATCATCTCTCTGTAATTTCAAAACCATTTCACATCCACGGGAGGGTGCTAGAAATGATTCAGTGTCAGGAAGAATTACCTCATAGTCTGGATGACAGAACCAAGGTACAAAATGATGTTGACCGGCTGAAGCAGTGGGACCACCAGGATGAAATTTAAAAGAGATGAATGTTACATTGAAGTTCAAAAAGGAAATCGATTGCCCACATACCGAATATGATAGTCATTAATGTGAAACAAAAGACTGTGGACTATTTCATTGACTACAAGCTCCCCATGAGTCAAGACTTAAAAAAAGGCAAAGCACTGTGTGATGGTGTTGGCCGAAGCCTCCTGATCAAGGACCAGCAAGACTCTACGTGATCTGCCTCTGGCTCATCACCACTGAGCCCGAGGCTTGGAGTCTTCGCTTTTGAGGCGCGAGATGCTATGGGACTCCCGAAGCACATACATAGTGTGGATATGTAGGGGAGTTAACACCCAAATGGGGCAAAAATTTTACCAAAGGGAGACAGGAGCCAACAGATTAATCCTCCCTCTAGCAGATGTTCCTGAGTAGTAGTTTTTTATATGGCCTCTTGGAAGATGGAAGTCAAGTGATCCAGTGCACGTTGTATTAGGTGGTGGCTGCTTTGAGAACAAACCCTCATATTGCCCTTTTCCCCTCCATTTCCTGCCTCTGTGCTTCTGCTCCCTGGGACACTTCTGAATAAAGTCCTTGCACGTCAGCCTTTGCCTCGGGTTCTATTTTCTGGGGAATCCAGGCTAAGACAAATGTCTGAATAATACTGAAGGCCAGAGAAGTCTGTGTGCTCTTGGCTAAGGCTGGCATGTTCTGATGTAGCCACTGTGACAGGGACAGGATTTGGGGGATGCTCTACCAGATGTGAGAAGATGGGGTGGACACAGGGGGGGACCATGTGCAATGTCTGTCAAGCAAGTGAGGGCTGTGTGTATCTTCCCCCAGCAATGAACGTTCACTTTAGTTCTTTAAACTATCCCATTTCCAGTTCATTGAGGTTGCCTGTCCTCATGATTTCTGATACCTGATAAGTGCCTTTTAAAAGCAGACATGGTGAAACAGATCAAATTGCATATCTTTGGCTGTGGCAATCCTTATTTTTACAAGGGTAACCAAGAACTTATAGCAACTATAGAATGCCATCGATCACAGCCTTAGACAGAGAATAAGTAGATTTTTCTTTAGATGAACTCTGACGGTGGTTTGTCATCCCCCTTGGAATGAGAGGGAGTTTTTTCTTGGTGGTTATTGGGGTTTCCAGCCCACTTCCCAGGTATGGCTTGAGAAATCTGGACAGAGTGGAGCATTCAGGGAGCCTTTGGGTCTTTGTTCTTTGCCTTTACCTTCCCATTCACTCAGGCTGCCCTGTCATTTCAGTATGGGTGCCTTCCTGAGCCTGGAGTCCCTACCTGGAGTCCCCTTCCCTCCAGGTGATGATAGAGCACTTGAGCCCCACTAGCTGCACCTGCTCCTGAGTGTACGTGACTAATACTCTTCTTCACTTGCTTTATAGCCTCCTCCTCCCCGGCTCACCTAACATAACACACAAGTACTACTGATTTCATTCGACCTGGAGATCCCCCAACATTATCATAATCTTCTCAGCAGTTAGGTCAAAGGTCACTAATTGGTAGACTGTCAACCAAGTACTGCCCATGGCTTTGTTTTATTCTTTTTTTCTCAGTGTTTTACAAAACAAGGAAATTTATGTGTAACTGCCAATATCTGCCTTCTGTGGAAAAATCAGAACATTGAAAATGCTTGACAAATTGGCTGGGTATGTGCTCTCCTATTTGGATAGGTCCCTGCCATAACCTATGACTTTACCTCTGGCTCCTATAGGCATTTTGATGAGAGTATTAAATTTATTTCATTGATTCAATGAATACTTAATGAGCACCTTTTCCATGCCAGTCCTTGTTCTAGGTACTGGGGGTATAGAAATGACAACAAGGACCAAGGATCCTGTTTTGATGGAACTTATATTTTCATGGAGGAGATAGATAATTTTTTAAAATACAGACACTAGTATTTAAGATGTCAGGTAGTGGTGACTGCTATGAAGGACATAAAACAGGATAAGAGTTATAGCAGGTAGTTAGCCGAGGGGTAAGGATGGGTGAGACACCATCTTTTTCGTAAGGAGTTTCTGGAAGGTCTGTGTTAAGATGACATTTAGGTAGACACCGAAGACAATGAGATGCTTCTCAAAGCCAGGACAAGAGGGTTTGTCTTCAGGCTGCCCCACTCCAGGCCTGGGAGGCGAGGGAATAAACAGGCATTCCTAGAACAGTGCAACGTAACGTACTGAGGCCAAAGCACCAAGAATTCTCATGTCTTCTTCTTTGTGCATTCTAGCAGAAGCTAAACACAAGTTAATATCTTGATCAGTTTTCAGTCTCACTGCTGTTAACATTTTTAATAGATAAAGCTAGAATTCAAATACAGCATTTACCCTTCCCGTGGAGTGAATCAGTCCTGTTTTATTTCCTGTACTTTGGGCGGCTGGCCTTCCTGCTTTAGTCATCTTGTTCACAGAGCAGGCTTTTCTAATTTGATCGTCGAATGAGGGTGTGCTGCTGTTTTCTTCTGGGTTCTTTTCTTGGGTTATGATCACAGCTAGTGTGAATCTACATGCTGCCTGGTCATACACCAGGATTTGGTCATCCACATAAATATGATGTTGTCGTGAGTTCACTTTTCTATTTAGAGAAGCGTGTCTGCTAGAAATACCTCCACCTCATTTCCCAGACGCATGCGTGCTGAGCGAGTCGCCAAAATAGCCCGTTGAGTAAGTGGCAGCTTTAAAAACCATCCAGCTGCTGACTTCAGACTAGAAGGTCAGCAAAGGAAAGTGGAAGTTGGACTTCGAATGATCAAAGTGCACCCAGAATTTAATAAGGTTCAGGATTTTGGAGACTTGGACAACTAGATTGGGGCTGCTTCTTGGATTTCTTGGCTGTTACCTATCTTTGTTTCTTCTCCTTGGGAGTCAAGATGAATGTCCAGGCTTGCTCTAGGTGTGGGTACGGAGTCTATCCTGCTGAGAAGATCAGCTGTTTAGATCAGGTCAGTAGATGTTTCTTGGCCTTTGGGAATAATAACAAACATGGAAAAATTATCTTCTCACATATGGCCATGTGGGTTATTTTGAACCTCCAAAAAAAAAAATGTTTCACACCTTTTTTCAGTTCTACCCATTTTTAGCTATGTCTTCTATATTGTCTCAAAAAAAATGTTACTCATTTATTTAACATATTGTAGCCACATGTCTTTAAATCACCATTTTATCCCTAAAGCTCAATTTTTTACCCTGAGATATATAAGAATCCCGAGTCTGAAAAAAGGGAAATTTTGCTAAATCTGTTCTATACAATTTCTAGATATGGCATAAAGCGTGTTTTCACTGTGAAGTTTGCAAGATGATGCTCTCGGTTAATAACTTTGTGAGTCACCAGAAAAAGCCGTACTGTCATGCGTAAGTGTTTGATGGACCTCCCCACTACCTCTTGAGTTTTTTATAACAAGTAGCCAATCAGAAATTCAAATCACACACTCCAGGGTAAAATCCAAAAAATGTTTTCTCAAAAGTTTTTACTTCCATACAATCATTGATGAGATCGAAGGTGGGATTTTATGTAATGGACAGAAAGTTGAAAGTTTCAAATTTCTTATAAATAAAATCAAATCCATTACTATAACCCCATGTTAAATCATTAAATATTGTGCAGAACGTTGTAATTGTCATGGATGTATGCATGTAGAGCTTTAACATTTTTTCTTTTAAATAATTTCAGAATCCTTTTTTATTTTTTCAGAAAGCTTGAGGAGATTATTTCCAGTTAAATTTGGCTATTACATACATATGAAGTTACATATATTGAATTTATTCGATTTCTTTTTCTTTAAGACTAATTGTCTAGAAAATCGTGAACTTAATTACTGTTTTATATTTGACTTAAAAACTGACTGTTCCTTTAAGATAAGTCATTCCGTCATCTTAGATAAAGTACATTTCTAATTTTGGCTTATATTTATTTTTTTTGTAGCCATAACCCCAAGAACAACACTTTCACAAGTGTCTACCATACTCCATTAAACCTAAATGTGGAGAAGTCTCCAGGAGACATCCATGGGGTAAGTTTAATTTTGAACTTAAAAATAGCCTTAAAGAAAATTTTTTAGCTCAGGCACCTATTAGGTTTTTAAGCATCTGTGTCTAGGTGTGAGCCTGCCTATTTTCTCCACCTACAAGTGCGAAGTACATTTAAGTAATAAATATTGCTATTGGTCCTTACCACAGTATAGAGGCCAATACCCAGGATAATCTAGCTTGAATATCTGAGGACCTAGTATCCAGAGTAATCTCTCTGTGTCTGCCAGTTCTGGACATATCGATGACAGTTTATACAATAAGCCCTGTATACACTAGAAAAACAAAGTAGCTAGATAATATTACTAGAGCCTTTTCTTCTCCCCGCGCCCCCCTGATTATTTTGGTATAGAAAATTAAAAACATCCAGTTTCATACCCTTAAATCTCTGAATTCAGTAGTGTTTAAGATTATTTGCAGCCTCTCTTTCCCCATAAGGTAGGGGGAGAGCAAAGATATTTTGATTTGGAATTGATATTTAGGTAGACAAGGAGGCCACATTGATAAACCAACCTCTTTTGAAAAATTAACAGTGGAGTTCTGTCAATGATTAGCTATTGATCGAACACTTGCATTTATTAAAATGACGAATCATTTAACTTCTTTCCTCCATGTCCCACGAGAAGTCCAGTGGGATGGAGCTGGTGGCTTTCTAAAATTAGAAAATGGCACATGAGGTGGAAGGCTCTCTAGTAATCTGCCTTCTTGATATTACCTCATTTTATACTGACCGTCCTGCCTGCTCAGGCCATACTCCTCCTTAAGAAAATGTATATTAGACCGAGTTTACATATACTGCCAAGCACTTATTTTACTAAATGCTTTGCACTAATTGTGGTTTATTATTTTTTAACAAGTTTACATAGCATTTACTGTACACTTATTGCTTACTTCATTTAATACAAATTGCAATCCAATAAGGTAAATACTATTATTATCCCATTTTACTGGTGAGGACACAGAGGCTCAGATCATTCATTGTTTGTATGTCATTGCTTTCTGAGGATTCACAAGCCTTAAGAATTCACAAGCAATCCCAGGCTACTGAGGAGGCAAATTCTTTTAGGATTTTGTTTTGATCTCTTGATGTCTAAGGGTAGCTACCTGAAATTACGATAAATACTGAATTTAGCTCATGCTTAAACAGAGTGGCAAATACTCTGCCAGGCTCTCTATCTGCGTTATCTCATTTATTCTTCACAGGAACTCCCTGTGACAGTATTATATTAGTTGGGGAGGCTGAGGCTCAGAGAGGTTAAGTAACTTGCTCGGTTTTACCTAGTTAGTGGAATGAATGCAAATCCAGATTTATCAGACTTCGAAATCCAGATACTGAATGGTTCCATTGGCCTGCTTCCATGTACCTAGGGGGTGACAAACTCTCCAGAAGGAAAAGTGCTTGTCTGTGTTTACAAACATCCAGATGTCTCAGAGTTGTGTAGCCAGAGCTTGACAGATTAAACACAAGGAGATGTACTTACACATCAGACTGCTGTTTGTATGTATTATCCTCTCTACAAAAATTCATAATATCTGTATTTTTCCATCCTGTGCTCGGCCTCAACTGGCATGTCCCTACCTTACAATCATACAACAGGTCACACAATAAATAGTACCTTTCTTTTGGTGGTAGTGCATTCACTTTCTTTTCACTCTGTATGACAGGCTCGACCTGGAGAGAGATTATCGCTGGTTCTGTTTCCAGCCACAGAAAGTGATGTGAGCTTCCCAGGAGGCCTGTGTGTGTGTATTTGTTTGCATCTCTGTGAATATGTGTATATGTGTATAAATATGTGTGTGTGCATATGGGGAGTGTATGTGTGTGTATATATAGGTGTGAATACGTGTGCATGTGTATACATATGTGTGTACTTGCTGTGTATACATATGCATACACACATGTGTATACATGTATGTGTGCAAGTGTGTGGTATGTGTATGTGTGTGTCTGTATATATATATGGTATGTGTGTGTATGTGTGTGTATGTGTATGTGTGAGAAACAATTGACAGCTGAGATCACTTTCTCCTCCTTTGCTACCAGGGAAAAATTCAAATGGACAATTATGTCCTTCTAGGCCCCAGATCTTATAACCACCCTAGGGAGTGTACTGGATTAATTTGCCCCTTTGCATCTTAGAGAGACTGCCAAATGAATAAAATCTAAATTTACTGTGCATTTGCAAAAATTAAAAAAAAGAAGAAAAAGGTGCTTCAGAGATGGTGGTGAAGGAGAAGACTAGGGTAAAGATTTTGAGCTGGCAATCGAAGCAGATTGATGTGTTTCTGTTTTTTAAATGTCTCTCTTTTAAAAATAAATATTTACTAAGGTAACATTTTCTGTCTGGTAGATGTAAATAGAGTTTTTAGAAGACGAAAACATCTAGGTTCTCTTCTATTCGGAGAATGAACATTAGCTCTTAAAGCTTCCTTATCCACTAGTAGCCTTTATGGCTTTTTTCTCTCTTCCTACTCCCTCGGAATAATCACAAAACTCTTGAAAGGTCTCTGGGGAGGCAGACACTCCTCAGCGTTGGATTTATGCTGTGGGAGGACTGCAAATACGGCATCCGCTCTATTTTGGTCACGTGATTCTGATTCTTTAAGTCAACGGCTCTCAAGGAGGGCAATTTTACCCCCTGGGGGACATTTGGTAATGTCTGGGGACTTTTTTGGTTGTCACAACTTGGAGAAGGGAGGGTAAGAACACTACTGGCATCTAGCATATAGAGAGCAGCTATGGCGATAAACATCCTGCAGTGCATGCAACAGTCCCCCACAAGAAAGAATTTAACTGGCCCTAAATATCGGTAATGTCGCCAACAAGAAACCCTGCCTTAGCTATGTAATATTTGTGGTAGTTTCTCAAAATCCAAGGGAAAAAGCATGTAAAGATCTCTCTCAATTTACATATTTAAAAATATACGTATTGGAGCTGCATTAAGCATTAGCCAGCCTAGGAAGTCAATGACAGAAAGTGCCTTGATTGGGAGCTAGAGTTCCTGGGTTCTAAGCCTGGCTCCGTAACCCAATGAAAGATTTTAGTAAGTTCATATCTCTCCCCTGAGCTTCTTCTATCATCTATAAAATTAATGATTTAAATTTCAGCTTGTTAAAATTGCAGGTTTGGGGGCTCCGTTTTAGACCTCAGAAATTATGATATCCGGGTTTGGATCTAAGACCTTCTGATATTTTTTTATGGTTTGTCCTTTTTATCTTGTCTTTAAGATCTGCCTATCCTAGGGTCATGAGGATGTTGAGATGTTCGTTCTCTTGAAATTGATCTACACATTCCATGCATTCTCAGTCAAAATCCTGGCATTTTTTGTAGAAAGTGACAGACTGATTCTAAAATTAATATGAACGTACAAAGATTCTAGAATAACCAGGAAATCTTGAAGAAAAAAATTAAAGGACTTAACAGATTTCAAGACTTATTACAAATGTAGTAGTAATTTACTCAGTGTAGTATTGGCACAAGAGTAGACAAATATATGAGTGAAATACTATACAAGGTCCAGAAATAGAGCTGCTCATATATGGTCTGCTGAATTACGACTAAAGCACCATTGCAATTCAATGTAGCAAGAATGACCTTTAAATAAATCGTGCTGGAAGGATTGGATATTCACATAGGAAAAAAATGAACCTTGATACCTGCCTCACATTTATAAACAAAAGTTAACTGAAGGTGTATTATGAATGAAGATGTTAAAGGTAAAGTTATAAAACATAAGAGAACACCTGCTTGAATTTGGGGATCCTGTGTTTTAACAAGCTCTCTGGGTGATTGTTGCACAGACTAAAATTAAGCATCACTACTCTAATGTCTAGTGTTCCCTGAGGTTACCTTAACCTGAATTCTTGATGTTGTGGAGACTTTTAAGTCTCTTTAATTGCACTGCTGAATGGAGCTCTGCACACAGCAGGTGCTCTGTATGTGCCACCCGTGTGATTGAACAGATGAAGCCACCATGAGGCTGGCACAGTGTGTGTTGTAGTGCAGTTAAGATGCTTTTGCAGCTGAGACTTAGGAAAATCTTCCAGTTTAGTTATATATTATTTATTTTCTTTCTGTCTTTTGATGGAACTATTACTGACAACATCTTCATTGTGCAGATTGATGAGCAAGACGATGGTGAACAGTTTAAATCGGGTTTTCACTGGGACATGAAATCCAATGATGTGGCAGCTACACCTAACAGACAGCCCCTGGTGAATGAGGTGAGAGGAGAGTTGTGAATGGGTTTGGTAACGGAGGAAAGAACGACATACTATGCAAATGAAATGTATTCTCATTATTGCTTCCAGACGAAATCAATTAGGGTTTCTTTTATCCAGTTTGTAATTCCAACTGTCTACAGAAGACCTTCATCAACAGGTCTCAGCATCACCTCAACCATATCTGCTCCAGTCCAAAGTCATTTACTTCTCCCTTCTAACTACTGTGTTTTTGTCACTGAGAACAGCCACCGGCTGGAAACCAAGGCTGCCCGTCCTTCCTTTGATACTTCACTCAGCTTCACCCCTTCCTTTCTGCACTAACCCAGCTCTGATCCACATTATCTCCTGCCTGGACTTCTATGAGGGCCTCCCGAGATGCTGTACTCTCCTGTGGATTTGCCTCTGTCAGGTGACATTGGTCACACATAGCTTCCTGGATGTCCCTGGCTGTCTCCCACCACCTGAGAATTTATGGTCACTCTATTAACAGCCTCATCGTTTCAAAATTCCTCAGCCATTCAGTTTCAATTATACATATAATACTTACATTTTTATTATTGTAAAAAAAAAAAAATCCAAATACTACAAAGCTAACTCCTTGTCCACCATTTCCAATCTCAGGTTCCTCTGTAGAGGTCCCCAGAGTTATCAATCCGCTGGGTCTCCTTCTGGACTTCCCTCTAGTCATTTACAGATCAAAATCTATATAATTTTTTTTTTTTAGTAGTTACTTTTGGACTTGCCTACTGCCGTTTCTCAAGGGACCTTTAATGAGTTATTTAACCATTCTTTTCTTCGGATTCCTCACCTGAAAACTGAACTTCAAATAGTTCCTGATTCACAGAACTATTGTGAAGATTAAAAGAGTATATAAATGTAAAGATCTTAGGACATTGGTAGGCATAATAAATATCAGCTATTATTTTTTGTTGAAAATTGTTTATATATATTTCTATCAAAATGTGTAAGTTTGGTTTCTCATGAAACAATATGCATTGGTTTGCAACTGGTATTTTTTAGTTAACAGATATTTTGGAGGTATTTCTATGTCAGCATCCTTTTAAGCTGTCATAGATGGGTGTATTGGGGCAACCGTTAAGAATAGATGTGTCTTGCTCTGCTATTGACGTGCAAGCTTATTTCCATTTTTTTTTTTTTCTGTTATAAAGTTGCAATGAGCACCCTTGTGCATGGCCTCTTTTGGACACAAATGAGTGGTTCTCTAGAATACATAGTGAAAAATGAAGTTGCTAGGTCAAAAGGTGCATGTCTTTTTCATTTTAATAGATATTGTCAAATTGCTCTCTAAAATGACTGTACATTTTATACTCCTACTGGTAGAATATGACACTACCTGTTTCCCCACGCTCTCACCAACACTTGGTATTACCAGATAAAAGTTTGGACAATCTTTTTCTTTTAAGTTAAACTTCCCCGATTGCTAGCGTACTTCAGCATATTCCTGCGTAGGAATTATTTGCCTTTCCAGTTCTCCGAAGGCTGCCTCCACCCAACCTGTGCGTCTTGCCCCCCACTCCAGCCCACTTGGTTCTCCGTCTCTTCCCCTCTATTCCAGTCAAATCCGTCTCCTCACGGGCTTCCACATGGAGTCCATTTCTGCCTTCATGCTTTTGTTCATAGTGGTTCCCTATCCTGTACTTTATTAAACAAGTATTTATTGATTCTATTACATGTCAGGTGTCGTGCCAGGCTGTTGGAATACATTAGTAAACAAAACAGGCAAAAATCCCTGCCTTCACCGAACTGACCTTCTAAGGTAGATGCCTTTTTCCTCCCTTTGCATCTGTTAACTGACCTCAGCCCTAGTGGTCCAGCTCAAATTCCATCTTCCTGTTCAAAACAGGGCCCATCACATATACATCGTTTTTTTTGTTTGTTTGTTTTGTTTTTTAACTCTCATTGTATTTAACTTCAATACAGTATGCTTAAACACATAAACATTTCTAATCACTAATTGTTTCATACGTTAGTTTTATTTCTCTAGATAGGTCATAATTATCTTAAAAGAGGAACTTTCAAAAAAATCTTGTTTGGCTTTTCTTTTTCCAGTGTTAATTGCTTAATCCAATGCTAGGCACATAGCAAATATTAGGTTTTTGAAGCTTAGATGAATGATGCTGATTAATTTCAGATTGCCTGTCCACAACAACTTCCTGCTGCTCAGTGATGGGCAAAGAAATGTTCAGTTACATTTGGAACTCTTCTATGAGATAAGTGAATTTCAGAAAGTACAATTATTTCGGATATTAGGTTATTTTCTAGCTGAACATTTTGGTTAACTGAGACCTGCTATATACCAATAGGAGTTTATGGTTTTTAGAGAATTTCTGTCTAATATCAACAGTGTGGGTAAGCATTGCTGTGTGGGGGGAGGGTGGTGATAAGGGGAATCTTACCAACCAATTGTGTGGGGTGTGTGTCTGTATGCATTTGTGTGTTTTCTTTGTAGAGACCCTATTGGACTGGATATGGGGAAGGGAATGCTTGGTGCCCAGGAGCGCTGCCAGACCCTGAAATTGTGAGGATGGTTGAGGCTCGGAAGTCTCTTGGTGAGGTAAGGGCCCTAGACATTACTTTAGCAATTAATTTGAATGTTCCTTTATCGTAAGATTGTGGTAGACAGAATACTGTCCCCTCCCCCCAAAGATTTCCGTATTCTAATCCCTGGCACCTGTGGAGATGTTGCTTACATGGCCAAAGGGATTTGCAGATGTGAGTAAGTTGAGGATCCTGAGATACGAAGATTATCCTGGATTATTAGAGTGGAAGCAATTTAATCACAGGGGTCCTTATAAGGAGGGAAGCATGAGGGTCAGAGTCAGAGAAAGGTGATGTGACAGCAGAAGCAGAAGTCAAAGCAATTTGGGGCTACAAGCCAAAGAATGCTGGCAACCTCTAGAGACTGGAGAAGGCAAAGAAATAGATTCTCCTCCAGAGCCTTCAGAAGGAACAGGCCAGATGGCCCATGTGTAGACTTCTGACCTCCAACATAGCAAGAGACACCTTGGTAGGTTTTCATGTAGAAAAGGCAATTTTAGCCCAAACTGTGGAAATCCTTAACAATTTGCAGAGTCCCCCCTAGTCCTCTCCATGCACCCGGGACACCTGCCCTTTGAAGAAATTACTTTGGAAAATATTGTTACTCTTCAGTGACTTTTCCTGGAGCAAATGGAAAAGGAAACAGTAGCAACACACGTGCTAAGCTACTATGTCTCATTAGGAAAGCTAATCATCAGAGATACTTAAAAAGTAAGGAGGAAAGCTAGCAGACATTTTACTCCCAATGAGGTAGAACTATCTCTAATGGATGAGTTACAGAAAAGTCTCCTGCATATTAATGGCTGCATTATCATACAACCTTTGAGTCAAAAGGCATCCCTTGGGTTGTACCAGGTTCCACATCATTTGATGTAAGCATTGAAGGGGCAGCCTTTTGACCTGGGAAATATGATTTGAAGGTGTTATTTAAATCATCAGTTGGATAACATTTTCCAATTTATTCTGGGTGACTGAATTGTTTAAATATCTTATAAACCCAGTTGCATTGGTTCTGATGATTCCTGCGATTACACTTTTATTAGTTCTCATCTGATATCATACTGGTTCTCATGATGATGTTGGTTCTGACCAGCAGGAGTATACAGAAGACTATGAGCAACAGAGGGGCAAAGGGAGCTTTCCAGCCATGATCACACCTGCTTATCAAAGGGCCAAGAGAGCCAACCAGCTGGCCAGCCAGGTGAGCGTCTTAATGCTTTTTTACCACTGATTATGTTCATTTTTTTTTTTTTTTGTTATTAACGAACTTCTGGGATTCAGATAAAATCTAACAAGAGAGTGTTCTGGGGCATGGTACCATTAGTGTGATGTTATGGAGAAAACCATGTTTTTATCTTTCTCTATCAATTACCCTCTGTACTTTGACTGGGCGTCATCCACCAAATGGGGAGAAGACCATGCAGCTCACTCTAAGACTGGACCAAATAAATTCTTGAGGTCGCTTTAGTGTTAAGGACACTGCTTCAAACTAAGTGGCAGGTCCTCCTAAAGAGTAGCGTATCTTGTTGGTAAAGAGCTCAGATTTTGGAGTCAAAATACTGGGATTTGAATCCTGGCTCTAGGTGTGTGACTGTGAGCAAATTACTTAACCTCTCTATTCCTCAGCTGCTCATATATAAAAAGGGGAAAATAATAGTCCTGCCTCATGAAATTGTTGTGGAGATGAAGTGAGTTCATATTTGTTCACGTTTAGCAGTGAGTTCATATTTGTTACTCTCTTGGACTTTACACATTAGCATCAATGCTTTTTGAGGTGGTTCCCATAACGCAAGCCATAAAGACCTGCCACGGGTAGGTGGTGAGGATAACCCGGTGGTGTAGTTTCAGGATGGAGAGGCCTTCACAAAGGCTGGTGGGTGTGACCATGACTCTGCTGTCTCCTCATCAGGTGGAATACAAGAGAGGCCACGATGAGCGCGTCTCCAGGTTCACCACGGTGGCAGATACCCCTGAGCTGCTACGGGCCAAGGCGGGGGGACAGCTTCAAAGTGACGTAAGAAATGATGAAGGTCACGACTCAGTGATTCTTGTTTAAGATTCTCTAGTCTTTTCTTCCTTGGTGGAGGAGTGAGGGAGAATGTAGGAGGCATCTCGGTCCTGTGTGGGGACCAGGAAGAACTTTCTAAGGTCAAAGATGGTCAGATCAGAAATATCAGCCATCACAGAACTCGTGAAAACTCCTCTTTAGGGAGAAAACTTTAAATAGTATTAGTGACAAACCGCATGTATCTGATTAATCTGAAAGAATTAATTTTAGGTTAATTCTCGCCTTGTCGCTGCAAATTATAGAACATAACTTCTAAAGAATTTGTACCACTTGCCTTTTCATAGCCCAGTTACTCCATAGCACAATAAGGCCGAGAACTGAATGTTGTTCTGAGCCGGGGGAAGCTTAAGCTCCAATTCAGGTTCAAGTTAACAGGTGGCTTCTACTTGCCTTGGGTCAGAAGCCTCTTGTCTCCCAAATGGACCAAGAGCTTCTCAAGGGCAGCGAGCAGCCTTATTCTTCTGCCCAGCCGTGACACCTGGCCCACACCAGGTGCCTCACCCATAAGTGTTGAATTCTACATTGAATTTCTCCATGTGTCAGGCACTGTGCTGAGTACTGAGAATAAAAAGTAAATAAAATGCACAAGTTCATCAAGCTATAAGCCAATTACATTGCCATAAGAGCTGTGACAGCGGTGTGCAGGGTGTTATAGGAGCCCTTAGCAAGGCTTCTCACTCAGATTGCTTGGTAAATGGTGAGATGGTGACATGATTTCCAAAATTTGTTTTCATTTTCCAGGTTAGGTACACAGAGGACTATGAACAGCAGAGAGGGAAAGGCAGTTTTCCTGCTATGATCACACCTGCTTATCAGATAGCTAAAAGAGCCAATGAGCTGGCAAGTGATGTAAGTGTTCCCGGCAATGTTGTCATGTAGGGGAGGAGGCAGGAAGTTATTTGGGCCTGGCAAGTCCAACTTCTTGTCTACTTTTGCATGCACTGTGGATCTAGAAAGTAGCTTTTTTTCTTAGTTTTCTATCAATTTTACCGTGATCTGGCACTTTTATGTATAAGACACATTCCCTGGACCCAAGCAGGAAAAGAATATTCCACAAGACATTCATTTGTACTCTTCTGGCCTATGTGCATAGGAGGCTAAATTCCCTGAGTTTGTCCTTTCTCTTCAAACAGGTGAGGTACCATCAACAATATCAAAGAGAAATGAAGGGAATGGCCGGTCCAGCCACTGGAGCTGAGGGCACAATGATGAAGGAATATGTGGATCAATACGGCCAGGTGTGTGATAAAATGACTTCCTGGGACACTGCTCTCTTTAGTGGTCAGTTCTGTCTTGCAACCCTCTAGCCTGTGACATAACCCATGACCGTTTAATCAGAGGTTGGGCTGTGGCTTATCTCTGCTCTATTTATGAAAGTTGGCTTTTCTAAGCAAGAAAGTAGTGGGCAAACAATTACACAGGGCTCAACTTCACCCACTTAGGAAAACAGATTCCAAGAATGTTTTTTCTTCTTTTTTTTAAGTAAAGTACCTATATCAAGATGGTGGGTTTGCTAAGAATAAAGCATTCTCATCTATTCATTGAGGAACGGTCCCATGGACTGAAACTGGATGCGTTTAGCCCACCAACTGCGTGAGCTCAAAGGAGATCAAAGTACATGTCTTGAGAAATATTGAGCAATTCATGGAGTAGCAGAACTCATTTTCTGAGAAAGCAGAATTGCTTATCTAGTTTGCTAGGGAAAGTAATATGCCAGAGAATGCAGAGCTTTTTCAAATTTCACTTCTTAAATAAAGTACATCTTGTCAGGGTGTGAGACAGTTGAGATGACAAGCTAATTTTTATTTGCACATCCCTGTCTATTTTTTAGTACTAGACGGATGTTGTAGGGGAGAAAAGGAACATTCTTTTTTTCACTGTCCTAAGTAAAGAATATAGGAAGAGCAAGCGTGTGTACTAGGAAAATCCATTCAATGGGCTTAGTTGATATGTTTTTCTTAATTGGACAGTTGTTTTTCAGGAGATAGATTCTACAACATAAATGACTTATTCAACTTACATAATTTATAAAGGAAAACAAATAACTTATTTCTCTTCAGAAAAATAGTTGCCCGTATGAGGATACATCACACGAGACTTAGGATGTATGTAAAGATAGTTCATGATCCCTTTACAAATGTCTGTCTGAGCCAAAATATTTGATTTTGAACTAAAAAGGCCATTTTATTAAATTCCATGATGTTAGTTAGTCTCTTAATGCTTTAAACTAAGTGAAAAAATATTTTCATTGGTTTCATGTTTTAAATATGTTGTTTAGAAGGCTCAGGACAACTTATAAAAATCAGTTTTATTAAAAAATATTTGGTTTCTGTATTTGGCAAAAACTATATTGTCATAAAAAAACCTATATTGTTCTAAATGTGGACAGTGCTATCTGCCAAGAGTTAAAACATGGACATATAATTTCATATGTGTATCTAGACATGTCTATACACATTGATGAAATGTAACTTCATAGGAGCATGGTTAATTCTTAATTATTTGGACATTTTGGTTGAGGTTTTCAGTTGTGATAATAACAAATTCAAGAGTCAAAGTGGGTGTTGTTTGATAGCACAGCTAGCAGCTGTCGAGAGGATCAGTCTTGTGTGGCATTTCACTGTGATTTAGTGGAACTTGCCAGGGCATGAGTAGAAGGGACTGAGAGAGAAGTGGCAGTCAGATAAACTATAAATATCCATAGTGCCTAAAATGCCAAACAATCCATTCTTCTTTTTTATGAGTAACTTTTTTTTTTAGGCTAATGGACTATGCCATGTAATCAATTTATTATTTGTAAGTAGTCAATTCCCCAATAGGATTAGGTGGCTTACAAACCAATTTACAAAATATAAATACATATAAGCAAGGAAGTTAAAATACGATACAGACCATTCCTAAACCATAGAGAAAAGGGGATTACCAAATAATCTGAGTGCCTTTATTATTATTTTTTTTAACTTAATATTTTTTACTTATTACTTTTGGCCCAAAATATTCTGGCAGCCAAACATAAAGGAGAACTCAGACTAAACAGTTGTCATTATCGGATAAAAAGGGAATCCGGACATTTTAACCTGACCCAACTGTTTTGTTTAAGAAAATGTATGTGTTAGACCTCAAACCTGATGCTGGAGCAGGGCAGACCCTGGCCCTAGATGAAGCCTGTGGGCAATGGAGTCTTAAGCCTGAGGGGGCAGGCTGAGGGTTCTTCCATATTTGTGGGAACACGGATGAGGAAGCTGCTGATTCTGCCCAGGACAGGACTGGGAAGAAGGGAGGAGTTCCCCAGACCGAAGGTAGCGTCTGCTGGGGTCTTGAAGTACATCTGACTGCCAGGGAAGGTTTATAGTAGTGATGCGATGATAGGTCCATGAGAGAGAAGGTTTTTGTGAACATGGGCGGCTGGTGTGGGGAGGAAGAAGGAAGAAATTAAGAGTCAGATTATAATTTTTAGTCTGAAATATACATTTAGTCTCATTTCAGAGCATCTCATGCCAATTTGAAAATCTCCCCCTTCCGATTACAAAAATTCAAATAGTTACATAATGCTCTCCTTCTTAGTAGATGACATACATTTACAGTATTTGGGATATCAATTAGTTTCTCTGTATAAATCTGTCAATTGGCCTGAGAAAGGCAGCGTTCGAGACTGCTGGAAGACTGCTGAGCTTCCCTGGTGTCAGCTAAGAAGTGAACACTCCATAATACATGGGCCTGGGAGACTGGTAGAGTCTCTTGATGTGTCGAGTAGAAATGATGGTGATAATGATAACAGTTATCATTTATTTAGTGCTGACTGTGTGTTGGGTACCAGTAAGTAGGCCTGACTCAGAGCCTACCATCTTAACCACCACGAGGTACCACTCCCAGCGTGATCACTGGACTGTCCAGTGTGGATGGACCTCTGTAGGAACAGGCTGTAGGAGAGACCATTGGTAATCCCTCACCCATGTAGGGAGGGGAGCATTACTGATTGAGATTTTTGATTCATCCAGCAGGGTTACTTGGAGGAGAGTGATGGGCACAGAGGGAAGGGCAGCTTCCCCGCCATGATCACCCCGGCTTATCAGAATGCCAAGAAAGCCAATGAACTCGCTAGTGATGTAAGTACTGCATCAGGATGGCCTACAGAGCCACAGCAGCAGAGGAGAAATGAGACTTTGAAGGCTGTGCTTATTGAAGCCTACACACAGATAAATTTATTAGAACTGAGTCAAAGCAGAATGTTAGCCTTCAGTTTCTATCCAAATTTCTGATACCTACTTCTTTTGTTCAGACTGTTTGGTCACATTTATCTTTTTTAAAGGAGATTGACATGGACAAATGGTATAACTCACTTTAGATCAGCTGAAGCAAGTACAAATGCTGGTCCAGACAGATAAACTGGGGTTAGGAGAGTCTTCACAAAAGAACCCATCTAGAAATCCAGCACTTTAGGGGGATAACTGATTAAAAACAAGTCATATGATTATCAAACTAGGTGTAACCCAGTTGATAAAATGGTTTTTATTTGCAGAATGTTGGCCAGCTGGCAGTCCTTGAAAGAGTGGCTATAATTAAACTTGGTAAAATCAAACACACACACACACACACACACACACACACAGTAGAACTAACATGCCAACTTGAGTGTTCGCTTTGGCAGCGTATATGCTGGCACAGCAACTTGAACTTGGTCTATAATCAGAAGCCAAGCATTTGTTTCACACCCCCATTGCCCTTTTCCTTTATTCTGTTGTTATTCAGTTATATCCATTTAACCAGAATAGTGCACTTTCGTGAGAGGGGAAATAAAACACACACTGCTCTCTTTGCCCGCTCCTCGGCAGGCTAGGTGAGAAATGATGTTAAACCAAGGGCAGACTCGCTCTGGGATTACACCATTTGGTATGATTGTTTTAAGACCTTCTTTCATGCGGAATTAAAGTATAAAGTGTGAAAAGTGTGCAAAGGGCCAGTAAAATTTTAATACAAAAGGGACCGAGTGGTTTATGTATTTCGTGGAGAAATGTCCATATGATTTTTTTTTCCTTCATAAAATGCTGTGAATTGAATGTCGTCATTAAGTGAGAGGAAATTTTGGAGTAATTTCTCTCGTGGAGCATGAAGACGAAAACTCTGGACCTTCTTTGTGTGTTTTCTTTTAGATAAAATACAGACAGGACTTCAATAACATGAAAGGCGCTGCACATTATCACTCACTCCCAGCCCAAGACAACTTGGTTTTGAAGCGGGCTCAGAGTGTGAACAAGCTTGTGAGTGAGGTGCGTATAGGGGACAGTCACACCTGTGTGCTGTCACCTCCTTTATCTCCTATAGGCAGTGAACAGGGCAGCCCCAGAAAAAAATTCTATGTAATGCCACATAAACTACACATGGGTTGGCAGTTCCCAAAGAATAAATATGCATTAAAAAGCAATTCACAGGAGAGCCCAGAATCAAACAAATTAAATTTAAACAAATTAAATTTTTCTAATGGTTCAAAAGTTTCTTCCTGAAGTCTCACAGGGCTGAGATGCTCAAAAGTTCCAGGCGATAGAGTTCTAGTTGCCAGGATACTGCATGAGCCAAAGTTCATAACAATACGTCATTCCTATAAGGCGGAAATCAAAGAACAGAAAGAGTTATTTGAAAACCGTGTGAATCCCTCTTACTTTAGTGGCAGAACTGGCTGTGCCAGAGGGTGTGTTTTGTTTGGCCTACTCAGCGATTAAGATTTTTAGAATCATTTGGACTCTTTCACAAGGACCTATCCCCTCTGGTCCCCCATATCATTTTCATGCCCTAGGCTCTCATTCGCATTACCTAGCTGAACCCTGAAGGCCTTTGAGTTGGTGACCTCTCACAAGAGGAAGAATGATTACGGCTATTAAAAGTATTCACAAAACAAGTTGTTTGCAACTCAGAAACAGATATGCAACTATCCTAAAATATTTTCCTTCTCTAACCTCTAAAGTTCAGTTCTTTACCCAAAACTGTTGTTTAGCCCTTGTCCTCCAGCTTTGGGCTCCTCGGAATTACTAGGAGTGGCATTATCAGGAGCCTCACATACTTTTTAGTAGTAAATGGGTGCCAAGGCCTTGGAATCTGCATTTTAAATAAATGTTCCAGATGATTCTAATGCTATAGGCCAGAGGTCAAACTACTGAGTGCCAAGTCTGGCCCACAGCCTGTTTTTGTAAATACAGTTTTATTGGCATACAGCCACAGCTTGTTTGTTTACACATTGTTTACAGCTACTTTCAAGCTACAAGCACAGAGTCCAGTAGTTGATGTAAAGGCTACATGGCCTGCAACGCCTAAAATATTTATCGTCTGGTCATTTATAGAAAAAGTTTGCCGAACCTTTCTCTTGACTCACAGCATGTTAGATCTAGATGGTCCTTTGCAGTCTTTGGCCTCCACTTTGTCATAGGCCTGGAAAACTAAAGTGTCTTAATCTGGTTCAGAGTGACTTTTAGGGACAAAGCTGGAACCAGACCACTGATAGTGCAGTTCCACCACCAGGCTAATGCTGCTACTGATTTGGCCTTTATTTTTTATTTTTTAATGTGAATATACTATAAACAAATAAGTGAATATAAAAACATATAGGATTAGAATTCAACTATATGTACAGTTTTGTGTGCTGTTTTGTTTTATATCATATTGTGAGCATTATAACGCATCTTGCGTACTTTGGAAGGCATATTCCTACCATACGTTTTATAAGTTAGGATAGCAAATTGTATTTCCTTTGCTAAGAGTTTCTAAGTGAACCTTCAGCTTCTTTTTGCCTTTCTGTTTATCCAGTGAGACAGATCAGTCATGCCTCTGGTAATGGTTGGTAATCAGCCTTCCGCACCTTCTCCAATTCCATGGAAAGACCTGGCCTCTATTTAATAACTATAGTCTCACATTTTATATCCAGATACCCAGGGAAGCTCAACTATCTAACCCATTTAAAATTAGAAGACACTCTCTGGATCTATGAGCAATCTCATTTATACTCCTTCGTAAAGTAACTTTTTTGGTTAAACTTCATTGAAGTATACATACAGAGAAGCACATACATCATAAGTATAACAGAAAGGATTTCTGTAAGTGGACACATCTGTGTAACCAGCACCCAGATGAAGAAACAGAACATGACCAGAAGTCCAGAGACCCTCCCCACCATCCCCCCGGGCACTTGTCCCCAAGAGTAACCACTGTCTTGATTTCTAAAACCAGTTTTGCTATTTTTGAATGGTATCTTACACTTATAGTATTTACTCTTGAAAGGGACTATATAGTTTTAACCAAACCAATTATCGCTTATTTATTATTTGGAAAGAAAACATGTACTATCAACTTACAGTATCCTATGCCTGGTATTTTTAAATCTCAGCTTGTAAGTGTTCTAAAAATATCCTAGTAAAGTCCTGTCGACATTTTCAAGAGTGACTTCACATTTAGTTCTACTGTGGTGTTTTGGTTTCTAAGGTGGAGTATAAGAAAGATCTGGAAAGTAGTAAAGGTCACAGTATCAACTACTGTGAAACACCTCAATTCAGGAACGTCAGCAAGATCTCAAAATTCACCAGTGATGTGAGTTTTTAATGCCTAAGCATTTGTTTGGGCTTTTCTGACATTCATGTCTAGGTCTCCTGAGAGATAGTCTTTGTGAATGTATCTGTGTGTCTTGGAGAAGCATGGCCTTTTATTTTTTATTTTTTTTAGGCAAGGCAGCCCTTGGTTGACCTCACAGATTGCAAGGATCTTGTCAGCTTACAATCTCTTATTTTTAAATTTTTTATGCCTACAGCACCTGGTCTTCCTAGGTGGTCTCCCATCTAAGTACTAACCAGGTCTGACCCTGCTTAGCTTCCAAGATCAGACAGGATCAGGCTTGTTCAGGGTAACATGACCATAGACAAAACATGGGCTTTTAGACACAAATACCTAAGAGTTTTGATTAAGACTATCTGCCAGGACTGGTCTATGTAGTGTTCAGTTCTGTCACGTCCCCCACCACACACCTGACCCTGCATCCTCAGGGTGGCACCTGTCCTCTTGCACCTGTCCTCTTGCATCCTTTGTGAATCGCAGTATCCAGCAGTATTCGGCTCCTAGAGGCAAATGCTGGTGAGCGGGCCTGGCTGAGCATGTAGCATCTCCTCCCAATGCTGCTTAGTCCACGCTCTCATTTAACCCACACAGGCACCCGGAGAGTCAGCTGTTATTTCCCCATTTTACAGATAAGCAGATGTATGCTGGAGTGGCATTTGCAAATGTGGAAATTCTCGGGGAAGGTCTGGGAATGTGTATCCTTGAGAACATCAAGGACTTGTACTAGAATATGTGGTTTTACTTCTGCTTGGCTGCACATCATAGTAGAATTTAAAATCACATGGGACTTTGTAAGGCTCAGCGAGAAATTTATTTTGCATAACTGTGGAGGTTAAGAGCACCAGCTTTGGAGCTCACAGACCTGGTTCCACAGTTAGCCAGGTGGGCTGACTGTCAACTTTGGGCAAGTCGTTAAAGCTCTCTGAGCTCCTTTTCCTATCCGTAAAATGGGGATGATAACAATTCCCTACTCCTTATAGAGTGCTTGTGATGACCAACTGAGATATTTAGAATCATGTCTGATAAATAGTAATGGTATTCTGTTTAAGTACTCTCAGTGCTTGGAACCTCAGTGGCCTCCCAGGGTAGGTGATTTTAATGTAGCTTCATTGAAAGCTACCCAGTTTTTCCTATTTATGACTTCTTGCCATCTCATTTTGGTTTTCCCTTTATTTGGTTGCTGCATTTGGGACATAACATTATTATTTCACATGGTTGCAGTAGTGACCAATCTGTGATGTAAAATTCGAAGAATTTGGCAAAACTCAGGTTTTATTCTTCATCAATTTAGAAATGCAGATAATAGCATGCAGTGATTTGTAACAGCCCCTAGCATGGAGCTTTGCACGCAATGCCAGCACAATCAATGCTTATCCATTGGAGAGCTCCATGCTCTTGTGGTAGGTTTTCACCTTGAAAAAATCTGGTGTGTTTAGAATCGAAAATGTTTTCTTGTTTTGTTTTGTTTTGTTTTTAAATCAGGTCTGTTTTTTGCTGTCTACGCTCATCAGATTCATTTTTTCCTATGTTCTTGTGTGCTTGTCTCACTTATGCTTGTTTGAAATTTAAGGTTTTTTTTTTTTTTTAAAGTCTGTCTTATTTTTTATTCAGTGCTATTTAGTGCATTAAGATGAGTAGTTAGTCTTCAACAAGTTGGGAAGAGGATGCTTTTGTTGAAAGTTTTGTGTTCCCATGTAGAATAAATATAAAGAAGACTACCAGAACCACATGAGAGGGCACTATGAAGGAGTTGGCATGGACAGACGGACTCTCCACGCTGTGAAAGTTGGAAGTCTGGCAAGCAATGTGAGTCTTTTTGTGAAAGGCCAAGAGGTCCTAGGGATCTGTTGGAGTAGAGAGAGGTGGGGCATAAGAAATTCGGCCGATTCTTTTTCAATCTTCCTTTTTAAAAATCAGTTTTCTACTGTGTAAAGACTAATCCATAAGAGTTTCTGAATGTTAACCAATACAACCAAGGCTAGGTAAAAGTCCTTGGAATTTTTCCAAAGCTTCAATTTATTTATCTCATCTTTTTTCTAGTTTGAAGAGCAATCAGATCTGTTACAGTTGATCCAGTGTGCTAAAAAGTTTCAATTTCTGAGAGATAAAGATAAATTGATGAGCATAATTCTTATCTGAAATCTCTCAACATTTGTGGTTTATTTAGAATTTGTTGGTTAGTTTATGGATTGATCGGTTCATTCACTTATTTGATCATAGTGTTCATCAAAGACCTGGGGTCAAGGCACTGGTTAAGGTAGTGGGATAACAAAATAGATCATGTCTCTGTTTTCCAAATAGCCTGTAATCTATTAATTCATCTTTGGCTTTATCAATTCAATTTATAGATTTTCAAATGCCATGTTGTAAATCTTAGAGGTAAAGGACACCTTTAAAAACCTTATTTCATTATTAAAACATATAAATGTCAAATTTCCTTTCTTGAGAATGTCAAATTTAAACTTTAGAAAAAAATTTTAAAACATTCTGAAGACTTTGACTTTTCATTAGCCAAGAAGCTCTTCCATTTTATACTCATGTGCAAATGTTTCTTTAAAAAAAACTATGTATTAAGAAAGATAAAGTAAATGTGCTGCAGGTGAAACTTAACTAATTTTGGATTAAGAAGAATTCAAATTAATTGAAAGCAAAAGTGTGAACATAATTTAAATTTCCTTGGAGGTGAGGAAACTGAATTAATTTTGTTTCTGGTTATTTTTTAAGCATTTCCTGCGATATTCAAACAAGGTCAAAAGAAAGTGGAGGCTAATTCCTTTTTTCTCGTTTTGTGTGCATGTGTTTCAGATTGCCTACAAAGCCGATTATAAACACGATATCGTTGATTACAACTACCCAGCTACTCTTACTCCTTCCTATCAAACGACGGTGAAACTGGTTCCTCTGAAAGATGTAAGTTCTCTTCCAATAGATTTTCCTCGTCCTTTCTCTCCTGTGGTGTGATTCTTAGGCAGAAAGATGGAAAGAAACAAGATACAACAGTTCATAGCAGATGAAAGGGACTGAGAAAGGGGCACTATTTTCCACTAGGAAGTCCATTTATGTATGTTTGGAAACTCTTAGACTTATCATTGCAAGGTGAGGACAACTCTGGTTTCATCTTGAAAATGACCCAAGGTTCAGTTTCTCCTCTTAGAATCTAGTGGACTATGTCCGCTGTTGGGCGTAGTTAAGTAATCGTTCCTTAGCAATGATGAGCTTATTTTTTTTTTTTTTAAGTTTTGGAGTGTAGTATGTTTAAGGACCAAAGAAAATAAAATAAAATGACTACAAGTTGAGAGGAAGTGGTAATGATGACTCAATATTTTTTCTCAGGAGCACTTGGGAAATATGTATGGAATAGCATGTAACCCTTAATTATTACATCAGTGATTTTATTCATTTCTATTTTGGCTTGTCCCAAATGAAATATACTTAACTGATGAAATTTATTGTTTTCTAATTACAAGAATTTTACTGCATGTTAATTCCAGAAAATTTAGAAAATACAGAAATAATACAAAGAAAAAGATAAAAGTCATGTCCTATCTTAATAAGTACTTAAGGTGGTTTAGAACTGAATTGGCATCATGGTTGTCAGTGAAGGTTAGCTTAAATCAATCAGTAATTCAACAAATAATTCAACATATATTTAATAAATTCCCAGCGCTACTTTCCTGCACATTCCTTTGAGATCAGCACAACTTCAGTAGCTGAGTTGAGTTTTGCTATTGGTAGGTAGGTCTTCCCATCTCTCCTTTGCTCAGAGTAGGTGCTGTGTTGGATATAGTTGGGTATCTCCAGCATCTAACTGTCTAATACAGTTTATAGTACAATGAAGGACAGTCATTGGCAAATGATAGTTTAAAGGGTAAAAGAGACTTTTCAAACATGTAATATAGCAAGGGATGGGAATAGAGGAATATTAAAGGCCTAGACTTTGCTTCTCTTCTTCTTGGGAGGTTTTGTTGGGTTGACTTAATCGTTCTGACTTAATGAAATACAAGGTTAAACTTGACTACCAAAGCTATTGTCTTTTTTTGTTGTTGTTGCATATATAACCTGGGAAACTTGAGGATCAAGAGCATTTCATTAAAATTTGTGCATGTGCTCTTGCAGTAGAGTTCTAGAAATCATGCTAATTGCACCCAGCAAGGTAGATTTCTACAACTGTGTACTCCCTTTATAACATGACTTGCTAATAGATTTGCCTCTAGAACACTGTGGCTCAAACCATGCACCTGAAATATCACCAGCTCATCTTGGGAAGTCTGAGAAATGAATTCAGCTAGACTAGATTAGAAATATCAGGCTAGGTTCTACACTGGCTGCCCCTGAGCCAGATCCAGACTGCAGAGGTATTTTGTTTGGTCACACAGTGTTTAAAAAAAAAGTTGGACCAATTTATAGAAATTGCGAGAGTTCACATAAAAAATTAAACTTTCACTTTTTCTCGAACCAAAAAAAAAAAAAATGGGAAAACTCCGGGAACTGTGGCCCTAGTTCTCCTCCGGAAACAATTGGCTGGGACTGAGTGGCAGCTGCTTTCTGTCATGATTCTCTCTTCTGCTTTCCCGGCTCCTATGTGATTTTGAGTTTCCCACCCCTAACGCAGGGGCTTTGGTGTTCAGAAAGTTTGGGGAATCCATTACAAGGACATTTGTGGTTTCTCTTTCTGTCTGAGAATCTTAAAGGTGGTCAAAGAGCTATGAATTTAAACAAACAAAGGTCCTTGATTAGGGAGCGTTCTCTTCAAATGGATTTTATAAACACTAATAGCATTAAAATGAGACTCTATCCTCAGCAAAGAGACCCTTCAGAAAGTAGATTGAAGCAATGGCCATATCTGTGATGTTGCAAAAGTGCGATTAATCATGGTGATGGTTAATTATGTCCTGCAGAGGAAAGTAATTGTGCTCTGCCACACACTTAATGCAGAATTATCGGGGAGGAATATGCCATTTAAAAAAAATCCAGTTTTTGAGACATTTTATCATACGTAATTCTGAATTCTAATGGTCTCTTTATTATGAGATGATAATTTTCCCCTCTAAATTAATGCATTAGGAAGCCACTGTTCTCTAATCTCATTAATAGTTGACATTGAAATGACTTTATATTTCCTAGTTTTCCCTTCATAACCCCGTTGTCCAAAACTCAGAGTGTACAAAACCTTTCTCCTTGAATCATTAACTAAAAAACCCAAAGTGATACTGTCCTTTATCACTAAACTCAAGAAAATACCCCGTGGCCCAGTGTCAGAGACACTGTTTTTCCTTGATCCTGTTCTAGAAGTTAATACACAAGTCATTTGTTTGCACCTGGAGTACCTTTCCTTGTTTAAGGCTGTGGAAATCTCCTTTTCCCTCTATAAAATAGCAAGTGATAGTTTCAAGCACACCAGCTTTGGCAAACTAGGCTTATAAAATATAGAATGAGAGCCACTTTGGGAGGCGGGGTGCTGGGATTTGAACGCTAGCTCTGACAGTCTCTGAGTGACCTCGAGCAAGTCGCTTCAGGTCTCTGTGCCCCAGTTGTCAACATGGTAAGGTAAAGGCAATAACAGTGTCTCTCTGCAGGGTAGTTGGGAAGATTAAATACATCAATATGTGTAAAGCACTTGAGATCATACCAGGCTCACAGTAACTGCTATTTTTTAGCCATGATTAATATCAGCCAATGTTGAGACAGGCAAGAATGGAGTGCCTACGAGGAAGAGATGATTTCAAGCTGGCCCGTAGGTCTATTTCATTTGGGTCTCTGGTTTTAAAAACATTGTGCTATTTTCCAGCATTTAAAAATTGCAAGATTTTGTATAATCATGGATTTTGGGTTTCTTTGGAATAAGAGGAAAATCTGGCCACTGTGCCCCACATGGATACACAGTTACTGTCTCCTAGAGCTGAGGAGCAGTTGCTGCCCTTTGCCACAGTCCCCACCACTCCTTACTACTTCCCCAACAGTGAAGCCAGACACTGAGCCTGCACTAGAGTTTCACTTGTGCCCCGCTAGTGGTCCGTTTGGCTCTCACAGACTTCATGACCTTTGTGTTACCACCCAGGGAGGTGGCAGTGGGCGGTAACAGCAGGCAGATAGAATGGCAGAGACATCAGACTCTAGTTTAGGCAGACAAGAAGTGGTAGGAAAGTGCAGTGTTGGGCACAAGTGTGAACCCCTGTGAAGGGCAGAGCCAATGCCAGAGGAGCATGACCAGAGGTCAGGATAAAGGTGGCATCAGATCGCAGGGATGCAGCCAAAGGGTGTGGGGATCTTAGGCAGAACCTAGGTCTATAGATGCTGTGATACTATGTGTGGTACTGGACTTCGGGCAATAAAACAGAGGCATGAAGACTATGAGTGGGGTTTTCAGTGGTCATCTGATTGCTGTGAACAAAGCCAGGGCCTAACCTGGAGCCTGTAGGTAGAGAAGCTCACGTGTCCAGAGGGTCTGGGTCAGTTTGGGGTCCATGGAGCAAGCATTCAGCTGAGATATCTCCACAGGCAGGGCTGTGTCTGAGTTTGTTTACTCTGCAGAGTAGACACTGTGACTGTTTGCTGAAGATATGAATGAATGAATAAATGGATGAATGAAAGGGGATCAGGCAGGCATAAAAGAGGAAGTTCGGGATTAGGAATGAGTTAATATTTTCCTCCTTTACTAGGATATAGGGCCAACCTTGGTTAAATCGTGGAACAGGCCGTTTACCATTCACGACCACCCCCTATTTTCTTTGACCTGTCTGTATACTGGCTCCCCTTCCACCTGTACAGGTTTCTGAGCTCCCAGTTAGCTCCCCTCAGCCCTCACCCCTTATTACCTACCTTTGAGCCTCAAACATGTCCCTTTACCTCTCTGCTCAGATTCCCATTCTCTCTGCAGTGGATCTGAGGTACGTACGGAGGAAAATAAGATCATTGGATGACTGTATCCTCATGCGCAAATGACTAATGATTCTTAACTCTCTGAAGGAAAAATTGTTCTTTCAAAAGAGAACATTCACTAGCCCTCCATATCTTAAAGTAGTGGGACATTAGGGAGTCAATGCAATAGGCCGCTCTGCAGATTCCCCCTCCTTCTCTTCTGAGCCCACATCTTTTATGATAATACCAAGCTTAGGGCGGTTTCCTGGGAGACTCTGGCAAGGTGGAAGTGAGGGCCCTGCTGGGGCTGGGTGTTCAGGGTGAAGACGTGGCAAGGGTGTCCTCACCCAGAGCCTCTGATGCTCCACCACCTCCCACTTAGACTTGTGTATAGCTTTAATTGGACTTTTTGTCTCTCCTTCATTTTTCTTTTTCTTTTAAAAACAAAACAAAACAAAACACTTGTCTTTTGAAGTATAAGACATACATAGAAAAGTACACTAAGTATTGATACACAGCTTGGCTTATTATAAAGTGACCTTGTGTGTGCATTTTCCGTGGGAACGTGCCTAGGAACAGAATTATTGGGACTTAGAGTATGTGTGTGTGCCAGAATGCCACAGCCTCCCAAAGTGGTTGTGCTGATCCACACGTCTGTCTGCAGCGTTCTCAGAGTCCCCACAGCTCTGCATCCTTGTCGACACTTGGTATTGTCCTCTGTTTAAGTTTTCACTCTTGAGGCGAACATGGAGGGGTGTCTCGTTGTGATTTTAACATTTATTTCTCTGATTAATAAGGTGGACAAGCCATCAAGCTGGCCTCTTTCATGAGCTGCTCTTCCAAGTCACTCTCTCTTCAGTGCACTGTTTTCTATCTGTGGTCTTGCAGTGTCTGTTGGTCTCCAATTGGAATCTTTGATTACTTTGCTAGTAATTTGAGAATTGCAGCTCTCTTGGGATTAGGGGGAGAGAGCTAAGCAAATCTTAGAGACAAGTGCAAGTGACATCTTTTTGTGTCTCTTTTTACCCAGGTCAATTACAGGCAAAGCATCGACAAGTTGAAGTACAGCTCTGTGACCAACACCCCTCAGATTGTTCAAGCCAAAATCAATGCCCAGCAACTGAGTCATGTAAGTGACCTGACCTGTCCAGCTGAACATGGGGGACTTGCCGTTGATTATTGGCCTCTGAATATCTGGCTCCCTGGCTCTCCAAGGATTTGACTTTCATTAATGGTGACATATGTCTTATTACAACATGAAATGACCCTTCTAGATTTAAACTTTTTATTCTATAAAATGTCAGATACATTCCAAAGTAGAAAGAATGGTGTAACGAATCCTCACGAATCCATCACTCAGCCTCACCAATTATCAATTCATGGCCAGTCTCACCTCATTTATATGCCCATCCACTCCATTCCCCTCCCATATTATTTTGAAGAAAGTCCCAGGTATTATATAATTTAACCTCTTTAAATTATGAATCTCTAAAAAGATAAAAAAGTTTAAACATATTTATATAATTTTAATATATCACCAAAGTTCGATTAGCATTCAACATTCCAATTGTCTCATAAGGTTATAACTATTTTTTTACAGTTTGTTTGAATCAGAATCCAAATAAGGTTCACACTTTGTGATTGGTTGATGTCTTTGAGACTCTTTATCTTTAAGTTCCCTTCTTTATCTCTTTTCTTTCAAGTTGTTTGTTGAAGCAACTGGATTGTTTATCCTGTAACATTTCCCACAATCTGAGCTTTCCTGACTGCATCCCAGCATGGACGTCACATGTTCCTTCTGCCTCCAATGTCCTGTAAAATAGTAGTTGGGTCTATAGGCTTGATCAGGTTCAGGTTTAATTCTGGGGGGAGACTGCTTCTCTGATGATGTTGTATTCCATTGGGAATCACGTCACGTCTGGTTGAATCTTCTCTCGTGATTTAAGATGGCTTTTTTTCAATGTGGGCAGGCATTCGAAAATTACTCTTTGAGTGTCCACCCTTCACATATCAAGATGTTCAGCATTGCAGCAACTAAAAAAACCAACTTTCATCCCCTCGTGTGCTTCAAAAGAGCATGCTGAGGTGGCCACAGGGACATCCTTTGTGAATTCACAACTTCAAGTACCTTTGAGTTGTTTTACTTTTCATTTGGCATCTTCGATCTGCTAATTTAAAACATTTGTAAAATTACAGGCTTCCTTGTAAAATGCCTTTTCCAGAAACTCCTCCTCCATTATAGGTCTAAGGGAAAAGTAAAAAAGAGAGTGTTCTCTCCAAAATTCTCCTTCTGCCCGTAAAAACCTTGCATTTACCCTGCGGGCTTATTTTAAACCCAACAGGTGAATTACCGTGCTGACTATGAGAAAAATAAGCTGAATTACACATTGCCCCAGGATGTACCTCAGATGTTAAAGGCCAAAACCAACACCGAACTCTTCAGCGAGGTAAGCGGGCAGCATGGGGAGAGCGTGGTGGGGGTTCTGCACAGAGGCAAAGATGAAGATACCAGCCCCAATGAGGCAGGACTGTTCTGCTCATGAGAGAGCTTTAGCCGAGGCACCTACCCTGTTATGATTTGGAATTTTGCTATCTTGTGGCACATGGGAGTTCACTGGCAATAAGTTGATGATCATGGCAATTTCATTCTCATTGTGTGAGCATATATACAGTATGTGCATGAACACACACACATGCATCATCATCATCATCAACATCATCATCATTTTCATCCTGGTGACTTCTTCTTGGAGCTTTGCAGTGTGGAGAAAATTTAAGTTTTATGAAGATCAGTCTTAATCACCAGACTCTTACAGGAGTCACAAATGGGTTGTGGTTAGGTTTCTTATTCTGGATGGGATTTTGAGGGCAGGAGAGGGGAAAAAAAGGAAAAAAAAATGCTTGTTGAATGCTTGTTTCATGTTGGGCATCGAGGTGGGAAGTTTACATATGGAGTTATTCATTTGTCATAATCCCCAGGAAGTATTGATCGTAGGGACATAGTGGCATGGCTTTGGTATCAGATAGACCTGGGTCAGATATTGGCACCGCCATTTTCAGCCCATGACCCTACGCAAGGTCTCAATGTTTCTGAGCCTCATAGGCCTAATACCAAGTTGATGAGTCGGAGACACTTAGGAAAAGGCCAGTGAGGAGTAGGTGCTGTTACCATGGCAATATCAATATCAATGCCTTATATCTGTATTGTACTTTATCAGCTTAAGATCTGTTTCCATACACTATATCCAATTTATTCTCATACCATCCTTGAGGCAGCTAATGATATTCTTATTGCAAATCGTAAACTAAGGCATGAAGAGATAAAGTAACTTGCCCAAGGTCACATGATCAGGAAGCAATGGCTCTCGGAAGAACACAGAGGCCTTCTCTTTGTCCTGTCTCATTACCACTGCCCTGCATGGCCCAACAGCTATGGATGCAACAATCAATCTTAATAATTGGTATGGTCATTTGATAATAACACTAAGGTTCTAGTCTATAGGCAGATGAAGAAACAAACTAACTTGGCTTTTTTTTCTTTTTTAAAAAAAATTTTTCTTCAACTTTTGGCAGGAATATGGATAGTGATTCCTACTCACTTGTGCTTTTGATTGTCAGGTTAAGTACAAAGAAGGCTGGGAAAAGTCTAAGGGGAAAGGATTTGAAATGAAGCTGGATGCCATGCCTCTGCTGGCCGCCAAAGCCTCCGGAGAGCTTGCTAGCAATGTATGTTTTCTCTTATTAACTCAGAAATGCATAAGAAATGGTTTCCATAAAATGTCAGTGGCCCTGCAGAAAAAAATAATAACTGTTAACACTGTAAACATCGTAATACTTTAATCTGGGTGCAAAAGACTGGGAGTTGTTTTTTTTCCAGAATTGTTCCCCTCGACTTGTTAAAACTGGAGCCCCTGAGATGGCAAAGTTTCTCTCTCGCTCACAGTTGACTCTTTTGCTTTCTCTCAAGATTAAATACAAAGAAGAATATGAAAAGTCCAAAGGCAAAGTCATGGGAACTACAGACTCTAGGCTTCTGCACTCCCTGCAGGTTGCCAAGATGAGCAGCGAGGTAAATTCTTTTCTACCGCCCACCCCCCGCCACCCTTTTACTTGGAGTTGTGTTACTTTAAAGTTTTTTCCCTGGGCTTCCTTCACCTGTTATATTTTTATTGACTTCCAACTATGATTTCTTTCCTGGCTCAAGTGAGAAGGTTGTCTCATATCGTTATTGTGCCGAGGCATACTATTCTTTTAAAATAGATGAGTAGTGTGCCCCATAGTGGTGACCAGTATCTCCCGATAGAAGTATAAAGATGTTCGACCGCATTGATTCATTCTACAGATGTTTACCAAGCAACTACCATGGGCGAGATCCTGTGTGAGACTCTAGGGTTCTAAGAATGACCACCACATAACAGTTTCCTCCCTAATGGAGCTTAATTCTACTGGGAGAGTTAGACAGTAAGCACCTTGTTTATTGTGGCGATGTCCTGGATGAATCCTGTGGTCACAAACACACATGATATTTGAAATATTTAGCATCCAGGCTCCAACCAATCAAAAAGATGATCCTTGTAAACAACTGTAATGGCTGGAGATTAATCTTGGTAAATATCACTTACCAAAGTCCTGGGGAAGGAGCTTTCTGCTAGAAGGGACAGACTTGGTTTCTAATCAAGTCTTCCCTGCCAATGCTGAACAGTTACAAAGGACACATGAGTGTCAGGTTTCTGCTTTACAAATGTCTGCTTGGAGCTGTGAGACCAGCTTTTAATGCTCCGACAGTGTGGTCAGTGATAATTACCTGATGAGCCATCAAGGAGCTGTGGCTTGAATGAAATAAGAGAGTTGGCATCTGAGTTGCCATTTTGGAGATGCCTACAGAACAAGCCCTGTGAACTGCATAGTCACGAAGCATAGAGAGACATTGAAAATTTGGCTTCGGTTTAGACAGAGAACAAAATGGTATTTCATATTTGCAGTGGGAGTATCTAGGGCCAAAAAGACTGTGTCCTGCCCAAAGTCATATAGTAGTCAGTGGGAGAGGGGGAGGGGTAGAGAATTAGACCCTACGACTCTAACTTACTGGCATCATGCTCCTTTTATTGTAGCACATTATCTTCCCCACCACCACCATTTTCCCCACCACCATCATTATCACCACCATCATCACCATCATCACCATCATCATCATCATCATTATTACCATTGTCATTGCCAACCTTATTGCTAGTATTCATCAAGCACTTTCTATATGCCAGTTCCTGCACCAAGCAGGTGTCATCTACTATTTTGTTTGCTTATCGCAATAGTCCTCTGGGGAAAATGAGCCTTTAGAGAGGTAATGGAACTTCTCAGAGGTCATCCAGCTGGCAAAGGGCAGATTGGCTTTTAACACAGGCTACCATGGCTCTGGAGCCCAAGCTTTGTTATTATACCTCTTAAAGCTTCTATGGAAACCATGAGTAGAGTGTTTGCCTCCTGGGGCACCCAGGTAAAAATATTTAGGATTGGTAGGAGGCATTCCACTCAGAGACAAAGTGGTATAGAACCTCAGCTCCCCAGCACCCCACCTTACAGAGCCAGGAGTTGGGTCCCACCTTTCTGACAGATGAGGGCCATTGATCAGAGTGCCAGTTTCTTATAAAAGCCTGAGCTTCTTTTCCTGTGTTTTAATATCACTCCTGCTTCAAGTAATGGCCTTGTTTCGGTACCTTTGAGGTTGAATACAAGAAAGGCTTTGAAGAGAGTAAGACCCACTTTCACCTCCCCATGGATATGGTGAACATCAAGCATGCCAAGAAGGCCCAAGCTCTGGCCAGTGATCTGGATTACAGGAAAAAACTGCATGAATACACTGTGCTGCCCGAAGATATGAAGACTCAGTGGGCCAGGAAAGCCTATGGGCTGCAGAGTGAGGTGAGCCCTACTCACTGCCACTTCCCCCCCATGCATCTCTTGCAATTGGGCACAGTGATACTTTCAGAGTGACTTTGAACCTGTGCACGAGTCTATTACATAACACGGAGGAAGAACTGCTGGAGATGTGCCGGGCCCAGGGAGAATGGGTGGGGAGGTGGAAATACAGATGTGGTTGAGACAGCGGAGACTAGAGGATGGAGGATTGGGGCTCAGAGCCATGGTGAAAGTCAAAATGTGTTGGGAATGTGTATGAGCAAAGGTTGAATCAAGTGTTGAAAATAGTAAGTCAATTTTGGAAATTTAGCAGGTTGTCAGATAAGGCCCCTGATCAAAAAGTCTGAAAAACCCTCTTTTTATTTAGTTTATGATGCTTCAGCCCTGAAATAGAACATTCTCTTCTGGTTACGGGGTGGCTCCCCCCAACCCCCAAATAGAGTTCTGCCTGACTGTGAAAGAGTAGGAAGAACTTCTTCCAGGAAGACAAATGCAGGAGCAAGGATTTTCCTCGCTCTCTAATCAGACACACGGATGCCCAGTCTGCATCCATGTGTCTGATTAGAGCTGGGTTTTTCTCTTGCAGCTGCAGTACAAGGCCGACCTGGCGTGGATGAAAGGCGTGGGGTGGCTGACGGAGGGCAGTCTCAATTTGGAACAGGCCAAGAAGGCTGGTCAGCTGGTCAGCGAGGTAACCTGAGCCCAGGCCCCTGACTTCTAGTAGTGACCTTTTCTGATTCCCCCCTCCCCAACCCCTAGGCTTATTTTGGGTGTTACTCAGGACTTCTTAGTTTTGCACCTGTAGCACACCTTGAGCTAACCTTCCACACTCTTAAGCTTCCTGGGCAGGTATTTGTCCGAAGCCTACCAATTTACTTTAAGTAGCAGTTGCATCCAGAGAGTAGTTTAGAAGGGTTGTAATACAAAATCAGTTACCACGTGGGAAGCATGTGTCTGTTGTGTAGGCATTTATTAATCCTTCTGAATCAGAGTCTGACCTTCAGAGGTCAGCATTCTCTTTATGCTCATGCCTTAAACACACTGTAGACTTTGAGCAAGTTACTCGGCCCCTCTGATTCACTTTCTCTCATATAAAAATGAGAAGGCTGGACAGGCTACCCTTGAAAGTCCCTGTGGCTCTAAGCCTAGGCTTCTCTGTGCGCCGTGTAAAGCTGCCTTTGGCAGCAGGCAGAAGAAGACTTTTAAAGGGCATTTTGTTTGGAAATGTGACCATTTCAGGAGCTCTGTTTGGGGATCTTCAAAGGGGATTCTTGTTTCGGGGCCAGGGAGGCTGAGTCGGCATCTCTCTTGCAAATGGTAATAATAGCGACAGTCATAGCTGCCAGTTGTGGACTGATAGTAATTATGTACTCATCACTGTCATTTATGGGCCACGCTAAGTGTATTACAAACATGTTGCTTATTTATTGCTCACAACTGTCCTATGTGAGTGACATCCTATTAATATCCCATTTTACATATGAGGAAAGTAAGACTTAAAGTCACACTTACAGGAAGTAACAGAGTTGGCATCTGTATCTACTATTTGATCCAATGCCCCAGTTCTTGACCCCTAAGCAATATTGCACCCCCAAAGCCCTGCTTTGTAATTTATTCTTGTTTTCCTATGGCACTCATCCCCTGATACGGATGTGCCCCAGTGAGAATGTATAAATAAGGGAGGTGGACAGAAGAGAATAACCCTTTAGAGTTCCTATTACTCAGCTTCTCCGAGAGCAGCTAAAATCCAGGTGGAGCAACCAGAGCCTGTTAGTCTTGGACACAGGCGTGGTGAGAGGCCCCAACCAGCCTGGGGAATGAATTCAGCCTGAGGAATACCAGTTTCTGTCTCACTTCCTATGCCTACCAATTGTTAAGCTCCTCAAGGGCCAGGAAGATATCATCTCCTTCGCCTTTTTAATATCCCTGGTGTGCCCGGTACAGGGTGGGTTCTTGGCTGTTCGATAAGTATTTTGACCAGCGCAGAGCCTGGGACCACCTTGAGTTCCCAGCCATGGAAGGGTAATGCGACTTCCTTCAATTATGTGGCGAGGCTTTCCTGTTCCATACACTGGAACTAGAAAGGAAATTGCAAGTTGTTTTGAAACAGTTGCTCTAGAATTTTTTTTTTTCCTAAAGGGAGGAAATCTGGAGTTTGCAATATTCCACTCCCTATTTGGGGTTCAGTTCATATCTAAAACCTTTTGCCGACAACACTGAAGGTTTTCTCCTCCCTGACCTCTCCGCCCCGTGAAGCTTCTGCTTCAACGGGCCATGCTCAGCAGCCACCTTCCCCGTCAACTTTGGCGAATCCAAAGTTGGAAAAGCCAGAGGAACTAACCTCCGAGGAGGACAAGAAGTCCCCATGGTGGGAGACAGAATTAGCACATTTGAAATTTTGCCCATTACTCTGTGGCTGTGTGACGGGGACATTATGAGGACAAGACTTCGGTGATCTGCAACACTAAGAAACTGTGAGGGTGCATCCACCTGACCACAAGCCTTCTGTCTGTGGTCCTTCCTTAGAGCAGCTACTTTCTCGGTAATCATGACAGCACCCTGAATAATGGCGACGGCTAACGTAGGAGCACTTACCCTGCCCATAACTCACGGACAGCATGGTGTTGAAGCCTCCGCTCCAGCCCGGCGTGAGGTGGCTTCCATTGGTTTTCCCCTTGAACAGACAAAGTACAAGTAGCTCAGGTGGTTAAGCGGCGTACATGCCCAAGGTCATGAGCTAGAAAAAGGTGGAGGCGAGATTCGGACCTTAGTCTTTACGGTCGTAAAGTCCCCTCACTATCCTGTGTCAGATCTAGACTTATAAAGGGGATACATCCCAGGGTGAAATACAGGATTTGCTAAGGGGAAAAAATTCAAGCCCCCATTCAGTAGTAGCAACTAAAGCAATGCCACCAGAACAGGCAGTCTCATGTCTGCATGGTCCTGTCAAAGCTGGAACATTTTCCCCCAGGAAATGCTTGCGTCACGGAAAGCATGCGTATGTATACGGGCACATGTGTGTGGCAGTAGGGACAGTCTAATCCTAATACTATCGAGTCCCTTTTCTTCGGAAACAGAAACACTACAGGCAGAGGGTGGATGAGCTGAAGTTCACCAGTGTGGCCGACAGCTCCCAGATGGAGCATGCCAAGAAGAGCCAGGAGCTGCAGAGCGGGGTGAGTCCTGGGCTGCCCTTTCTCTACCAAGCTGCTGTGTCATGGGCCCAGGAACCTCTGGGGACAACAGCAGGTACTGCCCAGGCACAATCCAGGAACCAAAGAACCATGCCTTTAAATAGGCTGGACCCAGCTTTCTGCAGGCTTCCAGGCTGGCTCTGGGAACTGGAATCCAGGCCTCCCTGCCTCGCCCACCACGCTTCTCTCCTGGTTGTTGGGGGTAGATGGCGACCGATGTTATTTTTTTCAGCTTTCAGCATTGCCCAGTTCCTTCTTTCTTCTTCTTTCTTTCTCCTTCTTCTATTTCTCATCAGAGACTCCATTATTCTGGAGCCAGTAGAGAATTGTCTTGGAGGAGGAGAACATTTGCTTGTGGGCTGTGTGTATTTCGTGCCTACTTGAGCTCAAATGGGGGAGGCAGAGCAATGAAACCCCATTAGGGTTTACGCATGTGATTAGCACTTGCTGCGTACCTACACCCAGCAGGTGCCATAGTTGCTACAATCTGGCCAGGACCTTCCCAGCTTTCTATCCTAAAGGTCCAGCTACACCTGCCAGAAAGGATGCTGTCACCATAACCCAGAGTCAACTTGGAAACTCCAGTTGGGGTGAAGGAGGAAAGGGAGAGACAAAGAGCAAGGGCGATAAGTTTTCCGTGGAGATGTTCGTGCATGTTGTCTTTTTGGTCGCTGCTCAGTTTCCAGATGTCAGAACCTACAGATGCAGTAAGGTTGATTATGGGGTTGCAGGAGGTTCAGTATGCATTTTATTTCTCCTACTTGGGGAGCCTGTATTCCTCTGAGTCCTCTCAGAGGAATCTCGTGAGTTCTTTTTTTGAGGCCGTGGACAGCATAGGTGAGAAGAGCTTGGGGAGGACGATGCTTTCTCAAGGGAAAGGTGTGAGAACAAAAACCTTGGAGGGGTTTTCAGGTTGGTCCCGGCCACGTTCTTCTCTCAGCTCCTTACTGCTCTTTGCCCTTCACCCATCACCTCTCCTGCCTTAAGCCTCATTTACTGTATCCTGCTGGCCAGTGTCTGGTCCGGTCCATTGTGTAATGGACTTCCCCGGCAGGTCGCAGAAGAGACAAGCAGACGTGAAGACTTATGAGTGATGCCGTGCCACTCGCCCATCCCTGCCACCTGCTCTTGACCCAGTTCTCTCTCCCAACAGGTGGCCTACAAGGCAGGAAACGAGCAGTCCCTCCATCAGTACAGCATCAGCAAAGACGAGCCTCTGTTCCTGCGGGCCCGAGCCAATGCTGCCAACCTCAGCGAGGTACAGCGGGAGGGGGTGGGCAGCTGCTGGCTCTGCTTCCCCGTGCGGACGCCTGGTCAGCAAACCCCGCCAGCCATGTTGGTGTCAGCTGAGGTTACATACATGTGGTCATTGTAAACAGCTTGTCTAACAGAACTTGTTCCAGACCAGCATTCACAGGGAAGACAACCTTTCATAGGAGTGAGCTGGTGGGGACTTGAGCCACTGACTATGAGATGAAGTAGGGGACAGTGGTTATTCCAGAGTCAGAGATGAAAGAGCGTAAGAGTAGTGTCATGGGTGAGCAAGCAAGAGCTCAGATGTTAGCTCCAAACTGCCTGGGTTACATCCTCTGCGCCGCTACTCCGAGTGTGCCACTTTGGGCAAATTCTTTGCTTGCAGTTGTCTAGTTGGTAAAATGAAGGTAATACTAGCCCCTTCCTTACTGGGTTGTCGTGAGGCTTCAGAGCTAATATACAGAAAGCACTCGGAGGACTGTGCACAAGGTAGCTTTACTCTTAGACGCAAAAGTACGCACAGTCTCAACATTCCCATCTCCATCTTCTAAGGAGGGGCCTTAGCTCTTCCACTCAGCTCCCCGGTCTTTGGGTCGTGATCTGATTAATGGGTATAGGGAGAAGGAGAAGGAGCAATGGAAGCTAAACTGATTCATATGCAGAAAGGGAGGGGAGCCTTCCAGAAGAAAGAACTTGTCATCTGGGGGCAGGACAGGAAATAGGAGAAGTAAGGAAAAGAGCCAGGGGTAACCAGAGCTTAGGGGGGCAGAAAGAGAAAAGAGGGCTGTTGGGGCAGCTGCTGGGCTGGGCGGGTGTGTGGACAGAGACGGACAGAGCTGTCAGAAACGTTGCTATGTGTTTTGCAATATTTTTCCACTTTGGCATGTCTTTGAGCCTTCTATGAAGACTCCTCATGTTTTTCAAGGCTTCGGGTGTTCAATTTCAGCTTCTTTTGATTGAAGCCATCTGCATCGAGAGGCCTAAGGCAGGAACAAGAAGGCCTGGTTGTATTCAGGTTATAGTGTTTCTGGGAAAGATGTAATCCGTGTTTGCCGCCTAGAGAGGTCTTTCCAGAGTCTAGGTGAGCCCTCTCCCACGAGGACGATCTCTCTTCTCCTAAATCCCCTTAGAAACTATACAAGAGCAGCTGGGAAAACCAGAAGGCAAAAGGGTTTGAGCTACGTCTTGACTCCTTGGCGTTCCTGGCAGCCAAAGCCAAGAGGGACCTGGCCAGCGAGGTGAGTCAGTCTCCAACTTGTACGAGATTCCATGAATCCTGTTTTTTACATTTAAAAAAAATATATATATATATGTGTGTGTGTGTGTGTGTGTGTGTGTGTATGTGTGTGTGTATATATATATATATATATACACAAACACACATATATATATATGTATAAATACATATAAGTTTATGTCAGTATAGGCAGATATTTCTTTAAAAATAATCTTAAAGCAATATAAATATTGGCTTAGTTGTGAATATGACAAGCACTTCCATTAATATCAGGAAGGAAAAACTTTTCTGCCTTTGACCTAACTATGTATATATATATGCACGCATACACACACAAACACACACACATATATACAATACATATACAATATATATAGTGTAACATATATATTATATATTTATATTATATGCGTATTATATATATACATACATAGAGCTATCATCTGGACTAAACAGGGTCTTGACGATGTGGCTGATTTACATTCCAACACAAGCTCCTTGTCAGCTCAGTAACTTTTTACAAACCAGCCCTGGACCACAGATGCACTTGGAGTGGCACGGGTTTATACCAGGCCTGGCTCATAGTAAGTGTTCAATAAATGGTGGCAGATATCGATACTGTTGTTGCTGGCAGAGATGAGAGTAGAGCCAGGTCCCCAGATGGCCACAGTAACCATAATGTTGAAAATCACGCTACACACTGATATCCTGTTATACTGTTGAAACATTTCTGTATTCCTTTTTTCTTCTGACCCTCATTACTCTGGGCCTAGTACTTTTTTTTTTTGAGACCAATAAGCTCCCTTTTGTTCCCCATATTCCTAAATATTTTTGTGCCCCGGTTGTTTTTTAATTTGAGCTCCTTTCTCAAAAAGCCATTGTATTTTGAATATTCAGTGTCTTTTTTTTATTTCATGACAACTTCTTATTTCTAATGATCTCGCTTTTACCAAAAAGGGATTTTAAAGTGGCTTTTAGGAAAACAAGAGGACACTTAAAAATAAATCCAGCATGACTGATCACAAATAATATAGACAAAAGACAGAATTTCACCAGGAAATTGGGAGAAGATCGTTCTGTAGATTCAGTTTAGTGCTGAGCTTCCTGGCAGCTGGGGTGAAAAGGGAATACTGAGCAGTCATCTTTTATTTCACCGTTGCATGAAAGGAAATATATCAGTTGTTCAAAGGAGGCAAACGTTTTATGATGCTAATTCTACTAGGATCCTGTTGTATGGCTTTGTTTAACTTTCATGCCTGTCTTTGAAGCTTCACGGTTCCTTTAGGAGAGTCTCACGTGGCCCTGCTCTCTTCCTCCCCTTTAGGTGAAGTACAAGGAGGATTATGAGAGGTCCAGAGGGAAGCTCATTGGGGCCAACAGTGCCCAGGGGGACTCGCAAATGAGCCACTCGCTGCAAATGTCCAAGCTGCAGAGTGAACTGGAGTACAAGAAGGGATTCGAGGACACCAAATCCCAGTGCCACGTGTCCATGGACATGGTCCACCTGGTGCACGCCCGCAAGGCTCAGCATTTAGCCACAGATATAGGCTACAAGACAGCGTCACATCTCTTTACAGCTTTGCCCACAGATATGAAGGTGGAATGGGCCAGGAAGGCTTATGATTTACAGAGTGATGTAAGATCTGTGTGTGTGCATGTGTGTGTGTGCTAGTGTTGGTGCAAGGGTTTTTCCCAGTCCCTTCAAGACAATAGTTTATACTTATGGGATATCTATTTCTGGATCTCTAAATGGAAATATTTTAACTTCCTAGTGGTTTAACTCTTATTCGAACCAGGCCCATTATAAATTCTATATGACCAAACAGAAAATCATAAGCTATTTTTTTCTTCTTGGAATTCTGCTCTCTATATTTGTTTGTTTGTTTGTTTGTTTTTATTGCCAAGTGTGGGGTGGAGGATTTATTTGTGACATTCTTAACTGTGGCCTCCTGTGGGAGAGCATCTCCGATACTCGGTCCAATCTTCACATCCCCATTTTTACAACGATCGGCTCCCTGATCTTTAACAACCCTCTCCCTGTTTTTCTTACATTCCCCGCCTGGTTCCGTTTTCTTTTGTCTTCCGTTGACCCTTGTACAAGAAAGTGAGTGAACTGGAAAGGCAGGTCAGCTGTAGCCAGACCGTCACACAGGGGGTGGGGGCCATGTAGACACACCCTTCCAGGTAGAGTTGTTTCAAGACAGACGAGGATATGCTGGTTTGAGAGAAGTGTCCATTTACATGGCTTTCCATTAAATCTGCTCCTTCAATGGCAAGTAACGAAATGCGAAAGATCCTTCCCGCAACCCACCCAGCACCGAGGTGTAGTCAGTGCACACGAAGGAACTGACGCGGCGGGAAGCCTCGGATGTCTTGTGACATTCCCTCAAATAGCTCCCCACTTGGGTTCTGTTGTGAATTCTCATTTTCTTCTCCCCTGCATGTCATTTTAAGCAAGAAAATGGGAAAAGCAGACAATGAGGACGCCCTTTTTTGCGAGGTAGACGTGAGCCTGGGATGAGGGACGGCGTTGGTTCGGCCCCTCCCGACACACCCCCAGTAGCGTTGGGTGGGCGGGGCCTACAGTCGCCACCAGCAGGATGGCTCCAATTAAAGAGGAGATTAATTTACATTTTGGAGCCCTACCTGTGACTGTGCAGAAATGGATAAGACAAAAGTGGCATCTCATTCGACTCAGCCGGCACCAAGGCTACATCGGGAGTTGTTAATAGCCCTTTACATGTCTGCGCACCAACAATGGCCTGCTTCTTCTTCTTTTTTTTTTTTCCTTTCTCCTTTGTCAGAACCAATACAGGGCAGATGTGAAGTGGATGAAAGGCACGGGCTGGGTCGCCACCGGGTCATTAAATGTGGAGCAGGCGAAGAAGGCAGGAGAACTCATTAGTGAGGTGAGATTCCCCAACAGCATGCAACAGGCCTGGCTGCATTAGGCGC